TAAATTTGAGAAAAAAATTATAATTTTCTAAACTCTTGTATTCTTTTTTGTTGATTATTCCGAATGTCTGAATGGTACTTTTTGCGAAGCACTTTGTACCAATTTTCGTTGAATCGTTCTAGGAGGATGTGACGTAAACGGTTACGTGTATTTCGTAATCAATAACTTCCAAGCAACTTGATACTTAAGGATAACTTTCTATATCGAATTAGGTTAGTTCTTTTTTTGTATCTTCCTGAGAATCACAATGGCGCCAAATTCGGACTTTCAAACGAATCGGACGGCTACTGAAAACAACGAAACAACTTGAGAATCTCGTAAATTACTTTGGCGTCGTTGTTGATTTGGATTGTAGCTACTTGTAAAGAAAATTGTCATTTCATCTGCTGGAATTTCATATTAAATAAGAGTGAAGTAATATAAATAAAATTTGTAGGGAAAATTAGATCTTTATTTTCGAAAGGATAGAGAATTTTGTTCTCGCATCTAGTTTCAGAAAACTACTGTCTCGTGCTTTCTGTCTCATAAAAAAAAGCTTCGTGCTAAAAATAATTCTTAGTGTAGTTACGTACCTGTTTTTATGTCTGTTATTATTATAATTATTATTAAATTGTGACCTATACCCCATTCCCATTAATTTTCAAAATGCTAGTACGGCGTATTAGAAATGATAAAATTTCGTGTTTAAAATCGTATTCGATTGACACGTAATGTCATTATTTTCGAAATTGAGTTGAAGTAATAATTATTAAGCATGATTATATGATAAATGATTATTAAGCAAATTATATATGATGAATTGCTAAAAATTTCAGTTACAGATATCAATAATAAATAATTTTCGTATAATGTCAATAACTCGTATATTGAATACAACGAAGAAATAAGAAAGATTTAACAATAAAATTTTAAAAAGTTTAGATAAATTTACTCAAAATTCCGATAAAACCCGTGTGGAAATTTGTTAGGGAACTCCTCAATACGGAAAGGCCGTACTAGGAGTCAACTAGGGTATTCTCCGATACGTTTACTTAATGAGGCCTCGACAAGGGCCTGGTTTGATTTACTAACGAGGATATTTAGCCGGACCTTCACTCAGATTGCATTAGGGAATATTATTAGACACAATCAAGAAGCTTCATAAAGTTTTATGCTAACCATTCTTTGCACAAACTTGGTTATCGAAGTATTATTCGGCATAACGTCATTTTCAAAATGTTATTCTGATCTGCTAAAAATATTTTATTTTACTAATTTTTGTCAATCATTAAAATCAAAATCAGGCATAATTATAATTCCTTGCAATATTCATTTTATAATTGCTGGTATATATTGTATCATGTTCCTAGAGAAATTCGAAGAAGCTTATTATATTCATATTTACAAATACTTATTTAAAAAATTCTTAACCAAAATAACATTTGAAAATTCGGTTGGTAACTCAGTGGGTAGAATGTGCTCTAGATTTCGAGCATCCTGAAAATCGTAGGTTCGAATACCGCTTGTAGCTTCACATACATATAGATGGATTGTCTATTATAAACCTTTTTCTTTTATTTGGTTTTAATTACAGAATCATATCATTCCACCTTTCGTATCTTAGATGCATTTTAACGAATATTGACAGTCTAATCAATTTTAAATGAGTTCCAAAGTATATTATTATATTGATAAGCAGGCCTAGTGAGGAACGCATCTATTCACCCTAGTATGGTGTTTTCAGATTAAGCGTTACAGGGTATTTGGACCATAGCTGGATGAGAATTAGGAAAAGCTGATCGTGCCCTGTCCGTAGCCCTGAATAAATATCTACACGGGAATATGTATTTATTCCATAAAATTTCGTACTGACGTAAAGTATAATGCACACGACAAAGTTTATCCTAAAATAAGTATCCTATTATCAAACACTATTACCCTTAACAACAATAACGATACTAAAAAAATGTTAATCCACATTGAGAAAAATAATAACCATGATAAATCATTTACCTTAAAAATAACGATTCGTTACAAATATCAATTTTTTTTACTATTTCATATAAAATAAGACTTAGAACCATAGCCAATTCTTCGGGGACTAGTTTTTGTTTTCACTTCGACATGAAACTGGTCAATGATCGCTTGGAAATGAAGGGAAAAAAGTGAGAGGGGTAACCGAGTAGCTCATGTAAGCATTGAGCAATGGTCTTTGTTCGGAACGCCGAAAAGTCCGTCTCACCTTTCCAGGGTGCAGTGCCTGATTCCTACGTCCATCCGTCGCAACCGGGGGTCAGCTGGTTTTGAGGTCGACGTTGTCCCGGGGTGGACTCTCCCTTGATCTACGCCGAACTCGATGAATTAGCATCCTGGTCTTGAAGCTCCTAGGCTGCTAGACCCATGTAAAATTGGGTAGCGAGGACGGTGTTCGGACGGGTCGAGCGATTAGAGCTAAAGGCGATCTGGATCGAAGACGTCCAATTTATACGAATCGAATGATCATGGCGATAGGTGGATCGAATTCTACCCCAATTGACAGGACATTTACTAAAGTTCTGATTACCCTCTCGGTTCCTGTGAAAGGAAGTCCAGGGGAGACCAGGTCGTCAGTATTAGGTCTCCAACCCTAAAAGACTAGTTGGCAACGTTGTCCTATGTGGTCTACCTGCCTCTTAAGCACGTCCTGTGCGTTCTACCTCGAATTTTCTGATTGTCCAGCAGGATTAAGTCGGAAACCACCAGTCAGATTTAGTGCCGTTTCGTTCTGCAAATAAAAAGTTTTGACAATTTCAGATTAAAAAGAGTTAAACTTGAGTCATTTAGCATTGAAGTTCTAAGCTATCTGAACCTACCGTTAACCATTACCAAGCTGACTACCATAATTAGCAGTGAAGAATATTCGGAGTATCGTAAAGCGGCATTCACACCAAATTTTCAAAATTCTTTAAATGTTAAGCTGTGGTGAGTTTGCTAACGGCTATTCGATATTGACAGATCAGAACTTCAATGCTGGATGACCCAAAGTTTAGTTTATGAAAAAATATTATGTGCATATGTCGGTTTCCATCTCTATATGTACCCGAACTTTTGTTAATTTGTAGACTACGTGTAAACACATGCGTTAGTCTAAATACAGATAATTCTGGTATAAGAAAAATACTACATACGACAACGTTACCAACTAATGTTCGTTATAGCTACTCGGGCGGGATTAGCCTAGTAGTTTTCGGAGTAAAAGTAGCTCTAGATCGGAAGTCCAAGATAACGAGATTTCGTACCCGCCAGTGATAACCTCTCATTGGTACTTTCGAGCCTTCCAGCAGGTCATGAAACCCACTGGTCACGTGGAGTTATAGTTTAGAATTTCCTCAAAGGACAGAACGAAGGGATACTCTTCTTTAGTGTTGTTTTACTCGTAGCAGAGTGGACTACATGACACACAGCCAAATTGAAAAATCGATCGTAAATACGTCGTAGGATGTTATTTTCACGTTGTAGTATCCGTGTGTCGATACATCAATAGTAAAATTGGAAATAGCAGCCATACTCTGTTGCATGAAATTACAGTAATACTCAGAAATACAGTAATAGTATATTACGATACAAGTGCGCAAAGTAGGTGATTCCCGCAAGAGTCGGGTTTGTCGCCCGAGCGTAGCGAGGGTGACAAAAGAGACGAGTGCGGGAGACGCCTATGCGCACGTGTATCGTATACTATTTTTCCTAACAAGCTGCGTAAAATTCGATTTTGCACACGCGTTTGACAGTGCGGGAATGAGGCACTTTGCGCACGCAAACCCGTGCGCAAAATTCGATTTTGCGCACGCTGTTAGGAAAAATATATTGCGGCAATATGGGAATATTAATTTTTTTTTTATGAAAGTTAGTTCAGGTGTCATGTGATAATTCATGATCAAAATTCTGCTCTGTTATCAGTTGATTAAACACGACGGAACGTGAAATTATTATGAAATGTCTATTAGGGCAGAGAAAATATTGTGTCCCATTAGTTGTTGATTTGATGCAAAAAAGGTTAAAATATCTCAGAAAAGCTGCGCCAGGAATATTTAAACTTTAATCTACAGGGTGAATCACGAATCGTGATCAGTAGAGATTATTTTGTTATTAGCAGTCCGATCGAAAATGTTTTTATCCGCTTTTGCATGGTTTCGAGAGAGCTTTAACGTGATAGTGAAAAATTACTGGTCAACTCTTTTTTTTAAATGTTTTTTCAAGGTTACCTTGAAGTTTTTGCAACTTTTAATGTACCCAACAAAAAGTAATCTAATGGAGTAAGATCGGTAAGTAATTTTGACTTGTCAACAACATTGGATGCGTAATAACAGCGTAGCTGTGATTCTCCTTGTGATACAAAGTTTTTTAATTTTCTTTCGAACCAGATGAAAGAAATGTCATATCCTTACATGTGCCGAATTCATCTTGAAATCGTCTAACAGACAGGCGTACAAAAATTATATGTTCAGTTGCAAAAAATTCAAGGTAACCTTGAAAAAACATTTAAAAAAGAGTTGACCAGTAATTTTTCACTATCACGTTAAAGCTCTCTCGAAACCATGCAAAAGCGGATAAAAACATTTTCGATCGGACTGCTAATAACAAAATAATCTCTACTGATCACGATTCGTGATTCACCCTGTAGATTAAAGTTTAAATATTCCTGGCGCAGCTTTTCTGAGATATTTTAACCTTTTTTGCATCAAATCAACAACTAATGGGACACAATATTTTCTCTGCCCTAATAGACATTTCATAATAATTTCACGTTCCGTCGAGGTCTTAGTGAGGCCTTTACTGGGCCTAGTTGGAACATAAACAGGTGCTGGATTTACTTAAGAAAATTTCTATCAGGATAGTAGAAATTACGTTTAAAATATGTATGATTCGTTAAGGACCTAGCTAGGTCTCGGAGGATTTTTTTTGTGACCTAGGTACCCAAGTCTCACTCAACCATTTCGTAATTCTAATTTATCCTAAAGGAAACTTTTTCCTTTTTGTTTCAGAGTTCGCGTCGAATACTACGTGAACGAAAATACATTTAAGGAGCGACTTCAACTTTACTTCATCAAAAATCAACGTTCCAGTAAGTTATTCACTTATAGTACCGACGCTTCGCTTAATCTGAGAGGTCAAGCAGAAGCCATTCGCGAAAATATTATAAGCTGTAGGGAGTGGCGCGAAATTTGATTTCATCGAAATTTCATTTCTTCTTGCTGTATATGAAATTCGAAGAATCTAATGGATCGAAGGGAAACTAAATTACCTTAAATCTCTTTACTATTTATAGTCCTGTTCCTATATATGTACGTATATATAGATATATATATAGTGCCTGTGCCTATCTATATATAGATATATAGAAAGATCATTATATTATTTACAATATCTTTTTATCTATTATGTATATATATACAGGGTGTTGAAATTTTTTAATTTTTAAATGACAGCAGATCAAAGGTAACCATTGAGAGTAAGGCGGCGACGGAAATAGGTACGTGCTACCTTTGTTTTTTATACACCATGCTTTTTTTCCAGTTTTATCGAAATGGACATATTTCGAATATCGCGTATATTCTTTTGGTTCACTACTATTTTTTGTAACATTTTTGTAACATATCTTGTAACATTTTCTTAGCGCAAAAGTCTTGTTATTTTTCGAAAACATTTAATTTCGATTCCGTTTCACTCATCAGAATTGCTAACGAATATATTAACGATACGTCTATAAATTTTCATTTATTACTTGTCGAATTTCTAAATTGTCCAAAATAAAAGGACATCTGTCATTGTTTCCCATTTTCAGGTTCTCATTCTCCCGACCGGTTCTCTTATCAACATCTAGGCGTTCCCTGCCCCTTTATCATCCCGTATCGCCTGTGCTAATCGGTTGCGCTTTCTCCGTCCCTTCTGGAATTATTTTGTAGATTTAATCTCAAAGGGTGCATCTGGCGCCCAATCGGTTCTTTTACGTATCCTGTTCCGGGGGACAGAGTCTCGAGTAATTTGTCGGCGATGAATCAACTGTGTTGCTACGTACAGCTGGGGTATTTTTTGTATTAGTTTCCGTCCTGCCCTATTTCGATTGTTCGTCACAATAGGGGGTTTCACGTCACAGGGTTTTACACTCGGTACGGTAACGACACAATTACTATTAAAAGTGCTCGTAATATTTTAACGATACTTCCTAATAGGCGTGCACGTTTATTTCCCGCTTTATAATCCTGCTCGTAACAGCTCTGCCGATAGAGTGCAGCGTTCAGACCACCCGTTAGATATCATTGTGCTTTCGATGGAGAATAAAGCTCCTTGCTATTTTTTATATTTACGTACTGTAGATAAGGCCGATTGCCTTTGTCGAAGATTCCATCGTCATAAAAGTGTCAACGGCTCGTAGATAGAAATGGCGCTGCACTAAAATTACTCGTAATTTTTCATGGGCTTATTCCTCGTAACGCGAACAAGTACCGGTTAATGCTATGGTAAAGTGTTGAGGAGTTTTTTTTTCTGAATCTTGATAAAGTTCCGCGCGGCGGCGCGACAATCGTAGCGATGGGTTTGTCATTTAAATATATGTACTAAAGCGAAGTGAGTTTTTTATTTTTAGAAATACTATCCAAAAATACATATTTTTTAATATTCATGTATTCGCTTTTTTTTGTACGTCGTGGATTTTGGAAATATCTGAATTACATGAGCTTTCGAAATTTTAGTGAATTATCAATGTAAATATACATTTTTTAAATTGTTTATGAATGCGATTAAAGGAATTTAACCAAAATTTATTTATGCTAAAAAAATCGCGATGGATATCAAATAAAAATTGAAAAATCCAAGAAAATAGCCATTACAATGTAAAATCACCAGCCCGCGGCTTAATGAACTGATAAAATGTATGTTACTATAGCCGTTGAATTGTCAATAATAAAATCTATGTAATTCGTAAACCTTGAAAAAAATATTTGTACAAAAATATTGAACAATAAGAAAAGTTTTTAAATATATTTCTATATCCTAAATTTTTGAACCTTGACAATTTCTTTAGTATCCATAAACTAGAAAAATTCAAAATTTTCATTATTCACATCCACACGATATTCCTTAAACAAATTTAATAAAAGCACATCTTTGTTTCAGTCAAACTCTAAAACGTCACCTGCCCTCACAGACGCCTGACTCGTAGAACCGACAGTCAATATATCGCAGAATCAATTTTCATTCGCGACACATTTTATTTTCATAAATCGACATTGTCTCAGTTTCTATTGAAGTATGAATAGAACTAACCACTGTGGCAGGAACGTCGGGTACATTGAGGAAAGCAACCAAGCAACATGAACTCCCTTTGTAAACCACCGTTCACATAGCGTTTCTATACGTTTGATACGTCTTTGTCACGTGTTGGTTTCAGCTTGTAGGCCCAACAACCAATTTCGTTGTTTTCATCCAAGAGGTTAAATCGTTTCGCTCTATTCGGAAATCGAATTTCTGTTTCAGGTTTGAGAATACGATTGGCCAACTTGTTTTTTAAACTGGTGACATGCTTCCTCTATATATTCCGTGTGATCATCGACAACGATCCGACATTCGCCACGTGGTAAGCATCTCGATAAAATTTCAGTAAAGTAAACAATCTCATTTCCTTAGACGCTTACTAAGATCAGAATCTCACATATGCTTTCTGAATTTAAGCTACGGCTGTATACCTGGCAACAAGACCGAATTTCTGGCATCTCAAAATCTCACCGAGGAAGAGTTTCAGGAGCATCCTACTATCAACTGGGATGCTATAGTATGGGTCAGACGACCTTTAGAACTTTGGGTGGTCCAGGTCATCCTAGCAATGGTCTCCTTAACCGAAGCTCTTCTATTGGCCTATCTCGGTTACAAGGTACATCGAGTCTCCTTTAACAGGATAACCAAGTTTCGTTGTGCTTTTAGCGCTAATAACTTTAGCTTTATAGCTGCTACGTTGCAAAGTCGTTAAATAATTTTTTTTTATTTTTCTCTTAAATATATAATCGCTTGGCTTAATTCACTGTTCATTCTGCATTTTCACCCATTGTCAAAAATCAAACTACACTACTGCTTATCGAAATTTACATTCGTAATACTATATTTGAAAATACCGATAATCAGTTATTGGGATAAGTGAAGCAAAAATAATTTGATCTCTTGTCGTTCAGAAACATAAACTTTTGCTATGTCATAAGCTATAGGTATTATATTTTATGATAAAAATCTCTATGGTGTTTACAAATCTTTGCGGGGATCGTTATATAATATTTATGATAACGGTCTTCGTTCCATATATTCACTGCCATCTTAAAAAATCTCTATTTAAACGTTCCCATCATAGGCTACATTTATACAGAAATATATTCACAGTAAAAGTATGCATATACATATATGTGATACAGTTCAAACAGAAACTTTTACTTGTTTAGTACTCGAATGACCTAGATTCAACAACAACCTTATTCCATCAATATATCGTACCAATGGTACATACTTCCTTTGTACCAATACTGGGCAAAGTACTAATCGGACTCTCAATAAAAAAAATTTATTCACGTTAATGCTAAAAAAATAATCAACATTACATTTCCATGTATACAGACAGCTTATAAGCTGTCATAGCATAATCCGAACTAATTTGACTCAATCAGAAATAATAAATATTCAATCGAACAAATAAAGGTAAAATTCAGGCGGATCAAACTATCCGTAGCAATGAAATTTTTGTAGTCGAAAATTATCTACATTTTTTCCCCCCCATTTTACTAAAACAAAAAATACCATAATAGTTGATCGATTAACGCAGATTTCTAATAAACTAACCTAACATGGCTCCAATAATTTGTGAACAAATTTTACACTTCCTGTCATAAGTGACGGGATTGATACAAATTAGAAAACGGTGACGTAGAATGTATTAGTACGATGACCACGGCCAGAGAGGGGCGGAGAGTTTTTTTTTATTAATACATATTAGCTACAGTATCAACTTTTAATTCAAAGTCTCAAATGTATAAAAAATATATGTCTGTGAATTAAATTTGGTTAGGATATCGCCAACCAGTTTCAAAACACTCTGTATACGTCCAGTTGTTTCTACTTGTTCCGCCGTACTGGACTTTACATCTAAGATACTGTCATGCAAGGAAGATATTAAACACTTTCCATAACACTTACGTTTCACTTTCACTATGAATATTTATTGAACAGCGAAGCTCATATAACTGCATGAGAGCAAAGAAGACGAACAATAAGTTTCTATGTGTAATAACGATGCGACGGAGCTAATACTTTTCGCGTATCGGCACTTGGAGGCGCAACAATCTAAGGCCAAAGAAAAGGTTGCTCGAATTTCTATTAAAAATTCGTAATGGGTAAATTCACCGCAGCTTCATTCCTCGGGAGAGGTTATGTAATCGAATTTTTTTAAGTCGAAACGAATATTTGTATTTCTATACAAATATTCTGTACGTTGATTTGATTGTAACGAATTTCTAATGCTACACGTGTAGGATTTTTGTTGTATCGTGTGATATTCTTTGAATTAAATTTGAATTGAATTAAATTTATGTCGGGAATTTAGTGAAATTATTGAAAATCAATACAGTAAGTCATTTATTATCATGAGCACGGTTACACGGTCGGTAAGGTAGAGTCATAATTTAATTTTGTCAAGGATGTGATTTTGTATTCAATCCCGATATGCTAACTTTATATGTTAACGGTCTATTAATATCGTATGTGGGGCTTTAAGTGACTTATTCATGCGAGTATAAAATTAGAAGGAAATGTAGAGCTAGGTAGAACTCTGTTATGTAAAAGAAGGTTCGTCTAAGTAGTCAAGGATATGTGACCATCCCCCTACGACATTCTTACCGTTACGATCGCTCTTTGAACTATGTGAAATATTTGTATAGTGTATGTTCGACTTGAAAGGGACGATTGAGAATAATGAAGATTCAGTGAATATTTATTTAGAAAGGTAGTTAGGATGGTTCATTAGTTGGATTTGCCGGTATTGAACGGTACGTCCACGTGTTAAATCTACCCTGTCCCTGTCTGTTTATTCTTTACTACCGTCTGTTCCTCCTATAGTTTTACTATCGACACGAGTGCGCTGGCCAACTGAAGCTATTTCCTCTGAATATGATTTCGGTAGGTTTAAACACCCTGTATGTTTGGATTTCGCTACTTCGTCTACGCGATCTGCTAATTGATCTAGGTTGTAAAGAATCGGAAGGAATAGGAATTGGGTCCCAGGTCACTTTCCGAATAAAGTGACGTGTACTTTTGCGTGGGGTTATAGTCGTATACTGGTATATGGAACGAGAATAAATTTTAACTGTACGATCTAATTGTTTCTTTGCTCGGATTTTTTCCCTCGGCTTTAGATAAGCTAAGTAATTCTGGATATGAATGAACTGTTGTGTGTACCTGGATGTTTGCAATTGGATTCATAGGCTCACCCCAGTATTTTCCAATAAGGTTTCAATGGATTTTATGAATTATGTAGATGTAGTGTTGATTCAGTGATGACGTTTTTATGGACCCTCTATTCAGATCAAGTTACAATAGGGGAGAATAAAATCACCAGGTATGCTTTACTATGTTCAACTATTTAGAACTGATTTGAAAGTCCGGGTATCGTAACAAGTTACTTTAGAAAAATTAATTTTTTTATGACAAACCTGGAAATTATCAGTTTCGACTCTAACGTATTTTCTTACTTGACTTTGATTTTATTTATTGTCTTCGACTCACAGCTACTTGACTGTGACTATTATATCATGAAAAAGCGAAAAAGAAGTGACGAAACCGACCCGCTCAAATCTTTGCAACCCTTTTTAACGACTCTGTTTCTTAACCCTTCCATCACTTCTTCTGAATTTCATTGGTCTTTAATTCCTCATCTTATTAATTAGTTGGTGAGTCAGAGTACTAATATTTATCTGCCTGTTTCTGCATATCTGAATCTTCAAATTCTGTACCTGAAACTTCGCGAGTGTTGCTTGTCTCGGGAAACTTCAAATTTAAGTTTTATTTAAATACATAATAAGGATTGATATAGCAAATTTCGTTTGAACAAGATGCACTATAAAATAATATAAAATAATGATTGGCGTAATTTCCAATTTTACAAAAAAATAATATTATACGTAAATTGTAGAAAACAATATAAGCCATGATATAAGATAATCGTACTTATAAGCAGAATATTGAAAAAAGCATAAATGAAAATTGATAAGTATAAATCATAAAGATTAACCATATAAATGGTTGATTGACTGATATAGCGATGTTGGTGAAGGTAAAGGCATAGGTTTTGTGTATAGCATAAGTATATATGGGCTGGGATGTAACAATACATGTGGGTTAGCCTTGAGTATGAGTGGATGTATATACTAGCAATAAGTGTAGGTGGGCGAATGACGCATAACAGTCAGACGTAACATTACATATAAAATTCGATTATCTTACGTACGTGGCTTCATTTTCTATTAAAGGGAAATATAATATTCATTGGGAACGTCACTTTCCGATAAACTTAAAAATAGATCACGGCTGAGGTATTGAGTAACAGATATTGGTTATCACGAGATTGCCTGATTTTCAATGAGTACTTATCGTACCTGAATATACACATATAAAATGGAAATGGAGCATGGTTAAAACTTATTTATACGACGAACGAACTGCGGAATTTGATTATGGTAATCCATTAACGTGTAAAACGTTAAATTACCGTGAAATAATGTGAAGCATTGCTCGTAAGAAAGCAAATATTTCCTCTAGTTTTATTATATTATTTTCCAGCTTTCCTTCTATTCGTCCTTTTTCCCTTCCTCGTTCTCGAAGAGAAGCTTGACTAAGTCGTGAAATTTAAATGAGAGCTTATTGATCATTACATAATCCTGACACAGTCGAATAGATAACAGAATGCGTCAGAATTTATTTTTCTTACAGAAATAGATTCTATAAATAGAATTCTCATGGAAGATTTAAAATACATTTTGTTTAATAATAATATTTTAATTTTATTTCTATAGATTGAATTAATCAGCAAGAAATTAAAGACACTGCTTGGATGTGAAGTATTAATTAAATCTTGAAAAAAATTAAACTTTATTAGCTGTCCAGCTGTTTTCTGGTCTTTAGCACTTCAAAAGCTTTTATCGCCACTTTCTAAGATTTTCAACTAGTTATGCACTCTCGGTACATCAGGGAAACGCTACGACGGAATAAGATTTTCCATTCCTTTGCATTTACGTTGTACGATAAGAATTTGTTTCGAGGACGTCAAATTATAGTGTTGCTCTCTAGATAACAACTTTCTACATTAGCATGCGAAGATAGCATCGCGAAGCAACTGGAAATGCTTAAAAATGTTGAATTAAAAAATTTCTAAAGAATTCAAAAAAAAGGATGTCCACATTTTTTTTCACTTTCGCCACACCTATTTGAAAATTTTCTAATTAATAAAAATTTTTTAATTTAAATGAATGTCTTTCTCATCAATAATGAATTTTTACATTTTTACAATCGTGAAATCGTTATCGCTTAGATGTTACGTAATAAATAGTATGTCACTAAATTTTCAAAATACACACAAACAATGCATATCAAAATCCATCTATCCATGAAAAACTCACTTTAGCTATGTAAATACATATACCTAGTATACACTTATAAAAGTTTAATATATCCGTAAGATTGATAAGAACCCATAAACCTAAATAATCGTAAATAGTTAAATCAGTTTGTAAAAAAAAACGCAAAAAACTGTGAAACATAAATGAAATTAATTCAAAGGCGCTCAAATTAAAATCATTTATGCGCTACAGCCTTTTCGAAGGATTCATTTAAATACAAAATTTTCCTACAGTCCACATCCACTCGCGTGCAATGTAAATAACCTGACAGATGTCACGCAACTATAAATTCGAAATTCAAAATTTGTACTGCCGTCACAAAGCGCCCATTCAAATTCACGCGAAGTCCTGCTAATACACGATATATGTATATATGGACGTACATCAGACTCTCTCAAAGGAAAACGATGCCGTTGACTTTGATGTAATTTAAACGGGAACGAACGACCGAGCGGGCGTGTAGTGCTCTTCTACGTCACATGGTAAATTTGATTTTCACAAAAGTGTAAGATGCGTGACGATGCGTCGTCGAGGAAAAACGGTGACATTTACTATGGCAATACGTTCAAGCAAGCTCGTTCACTTCAATCCGTGCTTAATGGCGCCACTTTATTTCCAACATTCGCATCTCCCTTTTCTATTCTTTTCCGGTCCCGCGGGAGACTAGAAGGAAAATAGTATTAGGTACTTTATGTCTCGTTCTCCCGTAAAGGTAAAGTGCCGTAGAGTGTTGGAACGTAGGCATGGCGTAACCTGTGTCAAACCACTCTTGGGGCTGTAAGTATTTATCCTTGCTTTTTTCTCTTTCTTTTTATCACTTTTTACCCTGTTGTTTTTCTTTTGTCACTGCAATCCATAGTGACCGTATAAATTTACGGGATAACTTACACCTATGCTCGTAACGATATTTCGATTATTTGACCAGCTCGAATGAATGTCAAGTTTAGAAAATAAATTTTTGCTTAATAAAATTATGTTTTTATTAGCTTTATTATGGATTACATATAAGTCCGATATTATTCAGGGAATATTTACAATTCTGTCAACCTAACGGTAATACTGATAGACACGGTAAATTATGAGAAACTCGTATCTGCTGTATATACGAAAAGGGCTATGATGGTGCTTATGAAAAAGTAATGTTTGAGCCAAGAAGATTTTACGTGTTTGATGCATACATATATAATTTAACTTGTTACATCATTCACTCTAATACAGATATGACGACGTAAATATTGATTTTTTTTTCGTAAGCATTTTTAACGAAATTTCTCCCCCCCCCCAAAAAAAAAAAAGAGAAATTTTAGAAGAACTTGGTTGTACAATTTTGATTTGAGCGTGTAAACTAAAAATGAGTATTTTTCAGTTTTCTATCAAAATTTGTAAATCTCTTAACTATAATATCTCGACTGCTTCAGACAAAAAGAAAGACCGGATCCAGCAACGCAATTAAAACAGCAGTTTTCAATTTTCGCACGACGGCAAAAAGTATTTTAATGCAAATAGAGTAAAGGGAAAAACGTCGTGAAAAATGAATAAAATATTCGGTTACGTTAATTAATGTTTAAATTATACTGATCGCTCGGTGACAATCGATTAATTTGTATAGAAAATAAAATGTCAGATGAAATTCAAAAACTTTGAAAAATTCATCACGGCCTTCTTAGACTATCCACACGAGACGGAGAACAGACGTAACGTATTAATAATAAATTAAATAAATAACAAAAGTCCCTATAGATTGATGTTGAAACAAATTAATTATTCTTTATTAAACAAGACAGTGTCCCCCTTTTCAAATCGACCGCCTTTAAATTCAACGACGTGCCGTCACCTGGCGGGATAATATTATTGGCCAGCTTGCGCTTGCCGAACTTATACAGTCGGTCCTTAGACACTGACGCCTCTGGCACTGACCAACCTCCAGCACTCTTCGATTTGGAACCTTTGAAATTGACAATTTTTACGAGCGATGACACTGTTGTCGTTAAATCGTGGGACTATTTGCCTGTGCACCATCTATTCGCATCTTCGATCAATCCGTTTTTTGAGTATTCAGCATCCGTTTCAAACAATATATTTAATATTGTATCCAGTTCCTTGGTGCTTCTTCATGAGCTTCCCTGTATTGAGACAAAGACCAGGCCGTCGACGGCGAACGCTGGTATGTGCGGAGTTTTCATCGTTTGACACTTGGAGATTACATTGAAGATCATCTCCGTGAAACACACCAACGTCTTGTACAAGAAATTTATTTCATGTAGCGCATTATACATACTACGTCCAGGGAGACTAATTTCCCTGACTACGTCCCTGGCTCTCAAACACGATCTCATAATGGCTAGATAAAACGGTCAGGGCCTGACACTTTATGCGTTGAAGTATGTCAATGCCTGAGCTCCGACTGTACCTTGAACGTGGTGATAATACGTAGAAAGCTTCAAAATTTTCACTGCGACATACAGCTTCAATGCATCGGGTGCGCAATTACGTAAAATTGATGTTCCCGACTATTTACGACAAGAAGCTGATCCCCAACTGTTCGCGATTTACGCAACGACCCTCGTAAGGATTTAATTGCTCTCGCAGGATAGATAAAGGACTATGGATATGACGCAGGGAGACTCAAAAGAAACGGAGCCGTGTGAAGAGCGAGAACAGGCTAGAATGGTCTCTAGACATCCTATTCAAGTAGCAAGAGAGATCTAGGAAATATTTTAAAAATTTTACGAACATTCCAATAGGATTCATATTAAGTCAAACTAGTCAAAGAATAACTTCTGTTTCACTTTTTACTGTATTATTTAAATAATTTGTGATCTGAAAATTTGTAAAATAATGGAACTCTGTCCTTTTGCTTGTTCCAAAGATAATACTTTACATAGGAATTTTTTTTGCAATGAACGATATACATATATGGTATTGACGGAAATAGGAATAGTTTCATTCGAGGATGTTGTCCCGAGTTTCACCTAGGCCTGCCTCAAGTTTAGATACCAAACTTGGTTCAAGTCTCATTAGACACGGTCCAAGCTAGGTCCAGGCTTGGTACATCTGTTCATGCCTATCTGAGTTGCACTCGGGTTGTATTGGCAACATTTTAATAAATATCCGTTCCACGATATTTTTCGAAATTATGGTTATTTCGAAAACCAAATTAAAAAAAACGTGTTGATAGTCACGCCTTTTTCCTACATTCGTATCCCATTCACCTGGCTCTTCGAAGGATTCCAAAGAGCCAAGTAGTGATCCACCCAATTAACCGTTCAATTGCGCTCTACCAGTCAATAAAAAGTTTGGAGGAGCCATTATTCTCGAAAGGAAAAGAAATTTGCAATCGCAATTTTCCTTGATAGCTCTGCCATCAACCAAGACCCGAACGAAATTAATAGTCAGCAATCCGAATTTTTCGAAACGATCCTGATTCCCGAAATCACCCACCGACTACTAGTTCTAGACAATTCGTTTTCGATTCTGCGTTGATGGGTAAGAATTATAGGTCTTATGCTCCACCTTTCCCTCAGGAATGCAATCTGGACCAAATCAACTTTTCTTATACCTATCAACACGCACTCAAGATACGATCAAGTTCCCAATAGGCTTGACATACTATTTCCAAAATTGATTAACCTCCGTAGATTATTTTTCAAACAAATTATCGTAAAACTTAAATAACTAGTAAAAATTTAATTTTTTAAATTTTACAATGAATACGATAAAAGTAATTTTTAACAAAAATTTATCTCCGTGCACGATCCCCGAAAATATCTTCAAAAACTTTCTCTTTCTGAACCAGTGAAGTTCCTTCCTTAGAAAGGAACATCCTGTATTCTGGGCAGTGAGGCAGAAATTGAATGGTCTGATAACGTATCGTCTAGAAATACCACGTTACAATCTAGGGACTTTTTCAAAAATTCCTAGTAAAAGATTATTGAATAGTTTGGAAAGCCTCGCACTGTACTGGAGAAAATAAATGAAAAATTCTTCTTAGCTCTTGGATGAATATGCAGAAAGACTTGAATGCTGCTTTTGATATTTATAAGTGTGGCTTACTTCTGCGCTTATTATATAAGTGTACCACTGGGTATGTTGAGCTGTCTCCCTGATGTTCACAGGGTAACATCTGGCAGCAGGTGCTCTCCTTTCATTTCATCCTAGAACTGGTGAACACGATACCCTTTACTATCACGGTGAGTACTTCTAACTGCAGTCTGTAATAAATGTGCTGTGTCTTGCAAATTTTAAAATATTTTTTAAATAAAATCATTTTTGTAATATTCAATTTTTATCGACATTAAAAAAAGTGTACTGGCGACTGGCGTGTCGTTAAAAATGAAGAGAGAGTAAAATTCAGTGGATTAGGGACAACGAGTTTTATTGTCATGCGAAAATTTAATTAACACAACGTCAGTCATCTTTCTTTGTGCCGCGACGATGCATATGAACCGTTGCACATGCAAGGACCACTAACCGTCAGTGAATTGATTGCGAGTTGAATTATTTTATAAATGCGGCTGCGGAATAATCTGCTATTACGAATAATAACCGAGATGGGTTATATTACGCGAAAGCTCATTAACCCTTTCAGAACAAGGGTGGAAAAAAAAAGTAAACTTTCAGAACTAGGGTACCTTCCGGTTTTTGAGATCACTCATTTTGAATCTGACTTTAGAATTTGAAAATTTAAACTGACGGATACAATATGTCGCGTTGAAATTCGAAAAGTTGTCCAATTTGCACGATAGTCAATTCGCAACGGATTCTGGGATTATCATTTTTTGACCTAATTTTTTTTTTAATCGAGCAACAATATTAGGCGGTTAAGCTTTGTCAAAATCGATCAGAAAGTCAAAGGGAGTGGCTCATATATGAGCCACCCCTTGACAAAGGGTTAAAGGATGCTTGTTGTAACTTTATACAGTTTGTCAAGCTATGATTATAATCACACAGTATGGTATTATAATTAACGTTTGAATCTATGATTTTTTAGAATTGGTTATAATTATTGTTTACCAAATTAGCGTCCAAATGACGTTTTTTATAATTTTTTCTTGTGACACTAGAAAATCTATTTGTTGTTTAAAAATTTAGCAATAATTCATCGCAATACAAAAACACCCGTAGAGAATGACGATCATATTGGAGTTTCCAAAAAAGTTTAGCTTTAGAAAAAAAATACTATTATAATGAAGATGTTTTTAGACAATTTTCAATTTCATATTCAAATGGGTATGTACCAGATGTAAGGAGAAACCAAAGGTAAAATACCATAAACTGAAATATTGTTAACTAAAAATAATAAATCGTTGTTATGAATTATATCATTATTATTGTTAATAATTGATACCATACAAACCTTACGTAGATTGTGCTTAGTTCAAAGTTACTTGCTTGATAATAATTTTGTATATGTCTGAATTTCTTCTACCATTTACTCAACTCAGTAAAGTAAAAAGAACATTGCATTAAAAAAGTGAACTGAACAAAACAAAGCGAAGTTAGGTGTCTTTGAATACCAATTGTTGTGCGTTTTGAATAAAACTATGAGATGTTCAATCATCATTTTGAATTTCAAATATTCAATTTAAAATTCAGAATCAAGGATTTCATAAACTCTTTCAATTTTAAATAATTCTCAGTCGAAGTTATTTGGACGCTAATAGTTTCCTTGTTAATCTTTATTATTTTTATATATAAATATATATATTATTCATCATCGATTATTTGCAGTTACTGTATCCGCCAATGCGAAATCTTTTTATCCCGGTATTTCTGAATTGCTGGTTGGCCAAACATTCCCTGGAGAACATGTTTGTAAGTATCATATCGTCATCCGATTGCGTGGAGAGGAAACAAGTTATTAAGAAATATTATTTAACTCCTGTGTGCAATATTATGCTTTGTTATAGAATGATCTGCACAGGGCGATGCAAAAGTCACAATCAGCATTGAGTCAGCAATTAATGATCCTCAGCGCGACTTTACTGTGCCTCGTATTCACTAGGTGAGTCAAATAGTTTTATGATAATGATGGTAATAATAATATTTATGAATATTTATAAATCAGGAATAATTTCTCAAATTGTTATTTCGTAATAAAGGCTGTTTCTCAATTGGATGAGAAGTTGGTGGATTTTGTCGTTGATCAATTAGTGTGGAATGTCGGGATCAACTTTAGCATAGTTATATAACAATTTTTTTGCAAAATTCTGTGATACCGTAACCATTATTATTATTTAGAATTGACTGACTATTGAATTTTCAAAATTGTCCTACGTTATTGTACAACTTTTTTAAAATCAAATCTGAAGATACTATAGTGAATTTTGTTCTCAATGGAAATTGCTAATTCTCCTGTAGCTGATCGCAAGTTTATTTTGCCACAGTTATTAGATTAATAGCAAAAGGGTTTATAATGTTATTAATTATCCAGAATTAGATTATAATAGGTATGTTTCAAATAATAATTAAAACTTTATGCAAATTACACGAAACTTGATGATAACAATGAGTCATTATGAGTGGCGTTGAAAAGGGGTCGTTTAACCCTTTGCCTGTTTTTTGAAAAAAAAAAAAAATGCTTTTGAGCCAAGAATGCTCTCAATGTAGAAATTACTATAATTATAGAAGTTTTACTTTCTGAGGATTTTTGAAATGGCTGAATTCAAGTCTGAGGTCAAAATTTAAAAATGCAAAATAACAGATTCAATATGGCGACGAAAATTCAAAATTATTTTGAATAGTTTTTTAAGCAGTTTTCGGATTCGAAATCAAAATTTTTGAACAAACAATGATGGATCCGACAATTGCCGAACGTTTTTGGAAAACCATAGTGATACAGACATTTTGTTGCATCTATTTCACGTATCAAACTGTATTCTACAATTTATGTAATTTTTTTCTATTCTAGTTTTGTCCTACTACCCAGTTATTCTCTCCTTGAAAAAACGAAGTTAACTCTGCCATATTATATCCGTCTTCTCGAATTAAAAAATTTTAACCTCAAACTTGAATTCATCAGCCCCAAAAACATAAAAATATATAAAATCGTGTCAATTGTCACTGTGGAAATATGTTTCGTTAAATGTGCGAATATGTTCTTCATAAATAAGTTCAGTGAATTAAAAATTTCACCCCAGTACTTCCATAGTATCTCAATATAAACAATCCATAGTTCAGTATTTTAATTAAATAAAAATAATAATAATTCATCTAACAAAACATGAAAATACAATTGAACATGTTACGGAATAAAAACATGCAAAATTAATTTTTCAATTTCACGGTTCAAATAATGAACAGACCACACGATTATGATATAGCTTCATAGTTATAATACAGCAAGTAGGTCAGTCGGCATTTAGCAAAGCAGGCGACACCATAGCGAACATACGTCATGATAACCAACAGATACATAATGAAAGCAGCAACATTAGTCTTTCCCTTATAGAAATTTCAAGTCGCACGAACATACATATAGGAAACAGCGCACGGCTTTGGTATGCATTATTAATGGTGCACTGTCCTATTTCCTGCTTTCCAGTTGAACACGACAGCTGCAATCGTGTTATGACGTCGTACGCCAGTGTTCTTTAGCATTGAGAGGCCATCTCATTATGGCTCACAATAACAAAGAGTCCCTTGGAACTCCAATACTCTGCACTATTGATTCTGGTGTACGACCTTGTTTCCAATTTTTCGTACAAAAAATTCCTAAACATTTTCAATTGCCTTTGGCAAACGAGATTCCTTTGAAATGCTGGTACATGCTTGTTATGTATAGCTAAATAAAAACAGCATGGCTAATATTCACTTCGGGCTGATTCGTATCGAGTACCGATATTAGTGAACCCTAGTGGTTCCTTATGGTTCAGAGTTACCGTGACGCGGGTCATCCGACATCGATCCTGGTTCCTTGCGGTAGTGTGCCGCACCTATATGCTTCTCACTCGTAACCTCTGACCTCACTTCAACTGAAGGTGTATACATATTCTCGACGTGTGAAACTGTAAAAAAAAATTTTACGGGTTCGGAAGAAAATATGAAATATCTGAATAAAGCTTTATTTTTTTTACATATTACTTATTAATATTTATTTGAATTTTTAGGTCCGGGTTCACACTTTGCCCTTTTGTCATCTTTGATCAAACATGGAAAAATCGGTTAACAGTCATCTTATTTTCGAAGGTTAATCTTTGATTGGGCGCTTTACTGATTTTAATTAAAAGTGGTTTTGGGACGTACGAAAGGTTGGGCAAAGGTTACGTAAAGTGTCTTCGGTGTACTTAAGTAACTATACTAATTTGACAGTATTTGCGAGTAATTTGTTACGCAATATATGTAATATGTTACGTAAATGTTGTTACACGTAAGTAGCTTGTTATGGGTGATACGTTGATTTTGTTTCGATTATCGATAAGAGTGGTATTCATAAGGAAAGTTTGCTTTAAGAGTTTAAATACGAACTTGAAATCTCTAACGGTCTATGGTACTTTACATCTAAATTCATACGAAGAAGGTAACTCTGAAACGTATTTTCTCGTAGATTGAATATACAGGGTGTGCCATATAACTAGAAGTAATATTTTTGTAGTCAAAGATAGCCAAAACATTCAAAACTCATTTGCTCCGTAAAACAGTCAATAAGGTGCGTTCGCGGTAAGAATATATTTTAAGGGGCCTACCTCTTATGACGTTTACCGTAAAAGAGTCCCTTGGTTTTCGTGGTATAGTTACGATCTGATTAAAAAATTGATTAAATGAGCTAAAAATACGCAATATAAATTATTATCGAATTTTTTAGCAATTTTATTTTTAATTTGACGTAAACGTTTCTTAATCACATCAGATTCGTAAGCTACTTGGAAGAGTTTGACACGTTTGAGTATAACTAAAAGTATATGAATTCTTTATTTTACTAGCAATTTTCGTAGTGATTGAGAAGTCTGTGCTCGTCCATGTACTGTAGTTTTTCATAACGTTTTCTCGCTCGAGAATAACTTTATTAAACTCGGCGTTTCACGAGAATACGCCATATGTTTCGTTCACTCGCGTGGCACTCAACTTAATCGGGGCGCTGTAATGTAGGCCAAACATAAATAAATAATTGTCCCATGTGGTGCAAAGGAAACTTGTACAATATTGATCTGTAACAGTGTATTATTAATCGTCCGGCTTTGTCCTGAAAATCAATTATTGGTAGTCCACCCTTCATTCAACCCTTTTTATTGTTACGAAAAATCTCCTTGGAATCGAATGATAATTCGAAAGAAAATATCGGTCAAATATTTGTGCTTTGAATCAGAGTCGTAAAAAATATGCACTTGCATCATATACAGTGTATATTCGCAGTTGCAAAAAAATAAATTTTGAAAATGCAAACATTTTTAAATTCAACCTGGACAGCTGTATCTGTATTTGATTTTTTTTCAACCCTCTATTGATAGCTTTCCTTTTATACAAGAAATGTACACTTGTCAGGCGTTCTAGACAATCTCAACACTGGAAGATTAAATTTAAATCTGATCGAATAAGTGGTTACAAATTTTTGTTCTTAATTTTTTCAAATTTAATCAGGTCGCCTTGACTTGAAATCGAAAGTCCTGAATACTAGCAGAACTTACTGTCTAATCTACGTCCAGAATTTGATGTCCCTTGTACATGTCAACCCGACCGATTTAATGGTTCATTTATAATTTTGAACATATACATTTATTTTCTTTTTTGGTATGACACTGACGTCGGACAATCGTACCCATGGTCAGACAATAATGAAAAAATAATTACGTAGACCTGTGGAAACGCAAAAAATGATATTAGGGATCATTCTGTATTTTTTTTAATAATGTCAATATTTAATAAGATTGATGCTTTCGCGAAATCGTTTATGTTATGGATCATTCGAAATTGAATTGTAGGTACCCATCTCGATGCGTAGCTACGGCTTTTTTTTCGTGACCTTCTTGTTCCACGCAACACGCAACTTTGCAGTTTACGCGCAACGAAGTCATGCGTGACGAACAGTCGCTTTCTACGGAATGGTGCTGAACGCTATCGCAAAATATGATCGAGTATGATGGTATAATGATTATTCCGAAGTAAAGGCGGGAAGGATGTAATAAGCGAAACTGTTAATAATAAATATTAATATTACTTTTTTTTGAGTGGAATAATGGTTTTCTGTTTTGTGAAAACAGGTAAATAATTTCCTTTACATATTTATGTGCGTATAAATTATACATAGGCGATTGTTATACAGTGATGAATATCTTTTAGTAATTTTTAGTCACGTTATATCCAGCGATGAATTATTTATTTAATCGAGATAACGCCTTTTTGGAAATTCATTAATTATTTTCTAATAATAGTCTCAATATCCAAAAACGTATTATTTACCTAGGTTTATTTTGGAAATCCTTTAGATCGCGATGTAACCCTTTTTTTTAATACACTTTAAATGATTTCAAACTTTTTCAAAAATCACATCATATTTCAATATATGCGTAGGGAAATTCAAAATTTTTAACTTTATTTCATAAATTATATGGAAAACTGATAAACGATAGGGACAGATATGTCGATATTCGTATTTATGTTTAAAGAAAATTAACGCTTTGATAATTTTGTGCTGATTACGTCCTGTATTATCGGATTTGTGATTTTTCTCTATATTTCATGTTACGTTAATATGATCGGCGTATCATATACTGTATAAAGATAATCAAGATATGGTTAATTTATTCAATCATAATTATGAAGCATCATTTATTATATTCGGTAGAATTATACAGTAAACAACCTTTATCCCTATGCGGTACTAAATAGAGTTACATATATGATTGTTATCATACAAATTTATAAATATGATTATTCAGAAACTAATATACCATATGAAGAAATCAATTGGTAACTTCCACGAGTGCGTGATTCCTAAACAACCCTATATATCATTAATTCACTTGGGCTTCTGCATACAATATAACAATTTTATATGTGCCCTAATATAAAAAAGCAATTTTTTTTCTGTAGTCGATTATTGTCTTTCGCTTTTTAACCCTTGACCCGCCATTTGACGTCGCCCGGTGACTCGTGCACATCGACCAATCCAGTGACACTGTTTATACGGAAATATGTACGGAAAGACGCTGTATTTTGATTTTCAAAAGATGGTTTAAGGGTTAATAAATTTTTGGCTTATCATTAGAATCGTCTTTCCTACGAGGAATCCAATTTCATTTAGCTGATTTGATAATGCCTATATATTAATACGTTAATGTATTCACAAATATGGCGGATTTGATTCGTTTTAATTAAAGTTTCCTTTGTTATAAACCACCCTGTTGTCGCCAGTCTAGCATAAGTAAATATTAATCAAATAAATTAAGTATAAAAAAGTAGGTCACATGCATAATGAATTACTAGTTTACAAATACAGCTGATTTACCGCAGTACCTACCGAATGAGTACTTAAATATTTTCAAAAGATAAAGTGAGAAATTGGGAAAAAAATACAATGTTCTCAAAAATACAATGAGAAGGAATGTTTTTTAAAGTTCAAGCTTTCAATACACCAGTGACTCTTCCGAAAAGAATTATTTTCTTAAGTCAAGAAAAAAAGCTTTTCTTCAAATAGGTTATTTTTTGTCAGTTCAACAAACCCGTACTTCTTTCTAAATTCTTTCAAAATTTATCCATTTTCCGCCCCATAATTTTATCTTGATAGAAACAACAAGTAGATTTTTATCAAATAAAATTTGCCTTTGAGTTACTAATCTGAAGATTGATTTTTCCGATTTACGTGAAAACCATAAATAAATTTATCAAGTAGAATTTACTTAATGGTCTATATAACGTTCATAATCTTTTTCTCAGGAAAGCATCGATACGATTATGTATAACAATGATATTTTTCGTACAGCGTCTGCGGGATCCAACACTTCCAAAGAGCCGGTCACAGGCATCTCAATTTATTTCAAAGTACTTATTACGTCGTGGTGACATTCTCCACCGTGGGCTACGGTGATTTTGTACCGGATATTTGGCCGTCTCAACTCTACATGGTGATCATGATCTGCGTTGCTCTTATAGTGCTTCCAACACAGGTAAATAATAGAATTTTTAATCAAAAAACTTAATGCAACATATATTAATAAAAAACTACAAATAATATAATTTGATGTAATTAAATAATGCTTATTATTATTATTGAACATGCTCACGCAAAACGAACAGTTTTTTATATTATTTTTATGTATTTCCGATAATTACGATATATAACAAAAATTAGCAGGATTATTGCTATTTTTATGGAATTTATATAACGTCTCTCTAGATTAGCACAATGATATTGAGGTTCTACTACGTGAAGATGATATTTCTCATATATGACGTTTCTTTTATTTGCAATATTTTTTTGTTTTTCAAATACGTGTAATTATTACCAACGACTAGCAGTGAGATGCGCAAATAGTAATGCAAAAAATTATTTTACAGCAACAGTCATTAATTTATGTACATTTTAAAGTATCCTTAAAAATGAGCTATTAAACTTTTTAAGATCGACAAAAACACGAAGACTGAAATGTTTTTGTATTAACATTTATAGAATATGAGCATCAGTTAACCTTCATATCATTTACAATCTTTTTTCCACTCATAGTATTTACCTTTTTCAAATTGTAAAAAAAAATGGTGTCTTACGTATTTGCACAAAAGTTTTCTCTCCCATGCTGTATTGAATCAACAGGATCAAACTTGCAAAACCTATTTTCCTATAAAGCGGTGGCAATATATATTATATCTATATAAACATATATATGTAATGAAATTCAATCAAAGCGTCCTTTTAGTACGTTTATAAAAATCCCCTAAAAAATTGTGTATAAATAATAAAAAGGAGTAATGCCAGAATCCTTTTTAATTTCGCATCTCGATTCAACCAGAAATGTCCCTCATTGTCGGTTTTCAATTCTTCATTATCCTTCAACGAACAAATTTCAAAATAATGGACAGATCAAATTCGAAGCGAGAATGAAATCAGCGAAACGGATACGCCCTCTAACGCATGTCCACGAGATACAGATGTATAGGCTTTGGGTTCAATATTAACGATTGAATTTGCACACAAGTACTGAAATTTATCATATAGGTCGTATGAGCTTCATGACTATTTGACATTGTTGACAGTTCGAGCAGCTCGCGTTCACATGGATGGAAAGGCAGAAACTAGGAGGATCCTATTCCTCCCATAGGGCCCAAAGTGAAAAGCACGTGGTGGTTTGCAGTACGACGTTGCAGGCCGATACCATAATGGATTTTCTTAATGAGTTTTATGCGCATCCGCTGCTTCAGGTACTTACGTTATAGGTTATCATTGCGTACCACTTTCTGCATGAAAATTCTCCACTTTATAGGTATAGGTGGTTAGACCCCAAAGTTCAGCACCTAATTCCCACGTAATAACGAGATCTTGATCCTCTTTAGGACTATTACGTTGTCCTCTTGTCGCCAATGGAACTGGATACGACTATGAGGATGATCCTCCAGGTGCCCATCTGGGCACAGAGAGTGATTTACATTCAAGGATCATGTTTAAAGGATGGCGATCTGGCGAGGGCGAGGATGAACGAGGCTGAAGCTTGTTTTATCCTTGCGGCTAGGAATTATGCAGATAAAACAGCTGCGGATGAGCACACTATATTGAGGTAAAGAGGAGGAATTTTAATTACTTGATTATACCATTTATAATAGCATATATCACGTTAGAATAGGTGATATCATAATTGGGATATAGAATTGTTAGATACGAGATGGATCACTGGTAGATCATTTTAAATTCGTCATATAAGGTCCCATGCAGGATCTCTATTGATACTATAGCTTACTAGATATACCCTGTATGGGACCTTTGTATTATGTAAAATGATTTCTCATTGATTCATCCCGTATCTAATTTTTATATTTTATATACCAATATATAAATACTTAACAATCCCACGCAATCTGTATCAGGTCTTGGGCTGTAAAGGACTTTGCGCCGAGCGTTCCACAGTACGTCCAGATCTTCCGTCCGGAGAACAAGCTGCACGTTAAGTTTGCTGAACACGTGGTATGCGAGGACGAATTCAAGTACGCGCTCCTTGCTAACAATTGCACGTGTCCAGGTGCATCGACTCTAGTTACATTATTATTACATACATCAAGGGGACAGTAAGTTACCACTCCAAATTACTCATAGTTATACGACACAAGGTATATCCTTGCATTATAGAATCCTAAAGTCAGAATGCACCTTTTACCTTCAGAGAGGGTCAGCAGTCCCAGGAAGAATGGCATAGACTCTACGGGAAGTGTTCTGGGAATGAAATCTATCACATAATACTGGGTGACTCCCGTTTCTTTGGCGAGTACGAAGGCAAGTCTTTCACTTACGCTTCCTTCCACAGCCACCGGAAGTACGGGGTCGCCCTAGTTGCCGTCAGACCTGCTGAATTACCAGAATTCTACGAAGACACGATCCTTCTTAATCCAGGTATGCCTTATACTTTACATACGTACGCAGTCTGAAATTGCAATTTCATACTTGGTCATGATCACACCTAACCTGGTATTATTTTGGCTAACCTAGTATTAAAATAAAAATCTCAAAATGACCTGTTATAATAGGTAACTGCTTGATGATCGTTTTTGTTTAAAATCTTCCAGGACCTCGTCACATCATGAAGAAAACGGATACTTGTTACTATATGAGTATAACCAAGGAGGAGAATTCTGCATTCGTCGTAGCTAATCATCAAAGTAGCGTCGCGACGGAACCGACGGGGGTTGTTGTGGATAAAAACTCGGATACGTCGGCGACCGGAAGTGAAAACGCGGCGGTACCGTCCTCTAGCACAATGGCTACAACGACCATGGGGACAACTACGACTACCACCATGACGGCGACGTCTGGCTTTTCAGCGATGTCCACTTCCGGTGGAGGGAACGGTACAGCAATGAACAATGGTGCAGAGGCGCACCTTCGGTTTTCCACCAGTTGTAATCCGCTGACCGATAACACTAGGCCCGTGACCTGGACGGGGCCCCGGGGACAGGGTCAAGGAAATTCACCAGGCCCGAAGGCCCCGTTGCCCCCACAGGTTATCTTGCTGGTCCCCCCTAGCACGCCCACACTCCAACATCACAACCTACTCGCATCCGATGTTCACCGTGAGTGTCGCACTCGCTTCTGCTTTTAATTAATCTTCTTGTAGGTGCGCCAGCTTCGATTTAATCCTGCACTGTAGTATCCATTGTTAAAAGTATATTTATTTAATGTTTTAATGTGGACCAGCCTTAAAAAATGAAGCCACTACTCGCTGGCTTTGCTAACTCACGATGACGTAGTACCAGGTATTACCTTATGGGCTTGCTTTGGTTAACGCGTACATAGTTTCCCATATTGTGAAATGGATAATAAAGATTGTTCAGGAAGATATAGGATAACTGCATAGTCAATAATCTGACATGTAGGTTAGTTTAGATTTTAGTTTCAATTTCATTAGTGGACACTTCATTGCAATATTAAAACCTCCATCACGTCCCTCATACAACTGCTTGCACACCTTCTTCCTTCCTTAACCATGACTTTTCTTCCTTCCTTTCATCTTTCCCCTTTCGACGCTTTATCCTGGGGATGTTATTTTACACGCCTAATACACGTGTAAGTCTTATGCAAATCGTTTCAAATTTGTTAATGGAATTTATGCTATTTCAAGAATAACAATTTTCATGATCGTAAAATATTTTTCCTAACCGTTATTTTTATATTTTTCTCAAATTTCTAGACACTATGCTTCAGTACGTATTAACCTGTTTCGTAATCGTGAGCATGTAATACACTTTATGATGCACGACTCTAAGGACTTACTGTCGCCATATTGATTTCACAGAGATGATTTATTAATTTTTCAGCAACTTATCTGGATCCAGCAGGCTTAGGAGACTCAAGGCAATGTATAAAGGACGCAGGATCATCACCACCAACGCCAATTACTGGAAATCATCTAGACGTGCCACGCTCGATGGATCCAAATCCAAATTTGCTCAGTCCGGAAATATTGATGCAAAGAAGAGGTCTGTTATTTTTGACATTTTATTATTAATCAAACCATAAAAAATCCAATACGTTTGATTGTCAACAGTATTGTTAAAATAGATACGATCCATTCAGTATTTCATTTCAATTTTCAGGTAGTAGACGACCCAGTATACTTCCGGTACCGGATATGATGACTAGCTCGACCCTTCATCTTCCTGGTCAGGAATCATTGGACCACGAAGGTGATGAGTCTGAGGATGAGATGGATGATGACGTCCCTTGGAGATCACCCAGTGAAAAAATTGCGTGAGTATCTTCCTTTGACGGTCCAGATCTCTGCAAGATATGAATGAATCTTCACTAGGTGTAAGCATTCACTTACAATGTAAAACCATGAACACGTATATAAATTATAGGCTACAAATACCTCAATAGACTAAAATTCATCAGAGAAGTTTGACTTTATTTATTTCATTCACCGCACTCGCATGGCATGATCTCAAATTCTTTGGTCCACTATTACTTGATTCTGACAAATTATTTTTTTAATAAATTTTTTACTGTTTTTTTTTCTAGTCACTTTCACGCCATTCAGATCTTACATGTTGTTCATTCACCGCAAAAATTCATTACGATAAGACGCACAGAACTTGTCAATAACTTCAACAATTAAAGTATTAAGAATTGTCAGTAGTATCAAGTATCAACAATTATTAACAATTAAAGTCTTCTTCTTCATGTAAAAAATTGTTTTCACTATACAAGTTCAGCATATAGATACATTCTTATCTACTATTGACTTTTAATTTTGGTGAAGTATTGCGATGTAATACAGTGCAGTTTCAACCTTGCCTTAGCTACAATTACACATCACTTATGTAAACCGTTCCAATGCTACATTGCACATACATGCATATTATAAGAGTGCATTTTAAGTGTTTAACTACAGATAGCGATGCGTCCTCTTGAGACCCGACTGACAAGAACAGAGTTAGGGTTTTTGTTAAACGAATAATAAAGTTTAGTATAATGGAATTTTATTGGTTTAAGGCTCTTCCGGACCCAGATCAGCCATCTTGAATTATAAGGACACAAGCGAGGATTTTCCGCGACTTACTTTCATTTAATTTGCCACCTCTATGCTCCGTTTAACCATCCTGAATATATGTGTAACCTTGAAAATGCAACGAAAAAAATAAGTCACATGTCCTCGTCCGACGTCTGTCATGCGCCTCGCACATACTCACTAGTCTATTACATGTTTATCATATTTTTAATACAATAACGGAGCATAGACTCGGACAGACTGACGGAGAATATATTCCGTTAAAATTTCACGATCAAAATATCTAAGACGGTTGAAAAAGGTGAAAAAATACGATTCGCACTATTTCATGTTATTTTATACAGTTAGAGACATCAATATATTCCGATAGGTGTCGTCCTATCATAATTATATTATCCATCCAGACAGTAGTAACATCCTTTATTATTACATCCTATTGTCCATTATCTTCATATACGTTCTTCTGGAATCAAATAACAAAGAATCCAGCCAGTATTCTTACTGCCCATACCTTTTTTTTTCTATGAGACGGCCCTGTGATTTCTACGTTATCGACCGAGATCGATAAGTTCCCAAAACTCCCGCAGGATAATACCATATATTATATATGATATATCATTGGAACTTTTGATTTGGGTTAGGAAGAGCCTTGAAATGAATGCGATCTCTTTCTTTCTCACTACGTAATGCACGTCACTGTGTCATCCATTCTGCCATGCAAAAGTCCATTCGACAAATGTCTCCTCATAATGTCTTTCGATAATCTCCTGTGTGATGTCGCAATGCTGTGTGATGATGTGCCCTGCCTGACACCCTAAACTCCTGTGGATGTTTTTGATGTCTTCCTCGCACCGCTCTTGCGCACTGCGCACGCTCTTCTCTTCCGGCGACTTCCTGTGCCTCAGTTTTAAAGGGTGAGTCACCATTATACGTACTGTACGATATCCCTTAAATTTATGTGTATATTATATATATATATCGACATAGATGACCATAACAATAATAATTTTTCTAGTGCAGACATACTGAACGCTCATAATTATCATTGTTGATTTCATTCGATCAAACCAGACGGACAATAATCATTATCTGAGATCTGGTTCAAAATACAGAATCTACACTGTGTTATTAGAAGATAATGTCTAAGAATCAAACTGATTAATGATTATGGACATACAATGCTTAATTCATATGGATGCGTACGGAAGTCCATATGAATAAAAAAACGAGTATGGTGAAGAATTAAATATTCAAAAATTACCCCTTCAGTGCTTCCCCCCTTTTTCTCGCCCTAGGTACATCTGTCACGTTCCTCAGGCCACGGCTCACCACCGGAAGGTTAATACGAAGGGATCACTGGGTCTATGATTTCGTCTCTTAATTCATGTTGAATCTCATACAAGCTCTTACCGTTGGTCTCTGGCAATGACCAAATGATAACGGGAAGTCCTATGGCGCCGGTGAACGTGAAAACGGCGAACGTAGGACAGACTCCCATGAGATGGCTCAATGAAAAGTACAACCATGCTATTATCAAGTTGGCCAGATACACAGAGGAAAAGCAGAATCCTATTGCTACTGTTTTTATCTTGTTTGGAAAGATCTCACTGGTCAGTACCGGTATTACCGGTATCACGCCAAATGTATAGATTATGTAATATATTGCTATTATTATTATCAGTGATGTTGCCGTCCCGTTTCCAGGCTCGCATTTGGTCCCATAATAAAAATTGTATATGAATATTATCAAATAGCAGGTAGACGACCCGATACACGATAATTTCAGTATGAACTTACGTCCGATTTTTTCGATCGTACCCAGACAACATACTACTGAGACAAAGTTCATAAGGGCAAGGAAAACGGTACCGTATCGGGGCAGCTGCGTGCTCACGATAGAATCAACGTAATTGGTCATTGCGTAGCCACCAATCACTTGAGTCGTGCACAGTGTCAGTAGTAGGAACATCATCGACATCTCCATTTTCCCAGAGCCAAACATCAAGTTGATCATCCTCTTAACTCTTGTTGGATATTCAATTTCGGAATTGAAAAATTGTACCATTGACTTGTGCTCCTCGTCGATTTCCAAAATTGTGGTTTTGCCACGTAAAGTCATCAGAGATAATTTAGCGTCCAGTACCTGAAACGGTTTTTATTGATGGTCAATTTGTTTAAAATTTAGTGTACTATTTTTTTATTGAAACTATCCACTGACCCTTCCACATTTGTACAGATAGTATGGTGACTCGTTCATCCATAGCGATGTGGATATTATGAAAAATATGGTAAATCCTATTATTCCTGGTGCCAGGATTTGCAAGTCCACGTGTATTCCCAGATAACAAATAATAAATATTCCAAAATAGCCTGATAAGCTTGTCATTGTAGCGACTGTCCCACGATTTTCTGGCAGCGAGATCTCGCTGACAAAGAGAGTAGCGGTTATTAGAAATATTCCTACAGCGAAGCCGCCGACGAATGAGCCCGTAATGATAAACTGCAAATTAAAATATTAATTTGGAGGTTATACAATTTATTGTTCTTATTTGACATTTTTTAATTAACACTTGGAAACGTGTTTGTGTATTTTTTAATTTCATAAAATACGTAGATAATATATAGATAATTCATAAACGAACTCGATGCCAGTGACAAACGGAATAAAAAAAATAATTAAATTTTATCGAGTATAAAGTCGAGTATAAAGTCGAAAATACGTTTCAAAACTAATTGATTTTTTAAATATGTGATTACACGTATTTTTTATTTTATTTCATTGCAGACTAATCTGCTACTGATCCATTAGTGTGACAGGGCACTTTTATAATTATTTTGATAAAAGATGAATTTAAATATTCGCAAATTTAAAAAAATCGCTTTTATTTCTTACCACCATGTCTTTCGCATTAGCAAGTAAAATCCAAGAACTAGCATTAACAACTCCAAAGACAATGAAAGTCGTGCGTCTCCCATAAACATCGACGATGAAAATTGGTACTAAGACGCCAAGACTGGCGCCTATAAAAATAGACGTCTCGACGAGAGAGACGTTTTCTAGAGCAACGTCCGTCTCGGTATTCGCGGAATCACCGAATTCTGGAATACTAACATTCGGTAGTCCCATCGTCAGCCCAACGGATATTGCGCCGATATTCACTGTGAAAGTATAAAAAAAAAGCTAGGAATGCACTGGAAGTGCATAAACGCTCATGACTAATAAATTCGAATAAGCTGCATTTTACGTACGCGTAATTAATGTCAGGAAAAATCTGCCAAGTTTTGGGTTTTTGAGTAGCCAACCAGTCGTTACCATATCCCAAGTAAAGTACATATTGAAGCAACATGATCATCGAGTTTCGTCATGATGAACGTGTAACTTCACTTGCAACATTCAAACGAGCAATGCGGCAAATACTTCAAATTTATTGCATATTAGAGGTGATAATGCGCGTGGCTCAGATAAGAAAATATGCCAATACCCTGAAATACTCGATGATCCAAAAATGAGGATTTGTGTTGATTAAAAAAAAAAAGAAAAGAAAACTATCACATGAAATTATGACTTTTTTTCAGAATTGTCAAAGGATTTCCACCTGTGTCGCCATTCATCGGTGTGTCGCCAACCTTGTGTTACCTCCTTAAGGAAAAGAAACCACTCTGCTGTTTGCAACTGGCACAGGTAATCGTTGTCTATCGCCGATGACTGAGCACTGTCAATGAGCACTGAATCAATTAATTATTAAAGTACATTTTTTATTAACTTTATTAACTTCCGTATTTTTCTTTATCTCTCAAGGTTTGCGAGCACTGCAGTTATCGAAATGCTAAGGAATACAATTGGCAAAACAAAACTATTATACTGGCAGCGGATTACGCGAGCAACGGAATATACAACTTTATCATACCGCTGCGCGCGCATTTCCGGTACGTTTTTAAAAGTCTGAATAACTTTGAAAAAAAATGTCCTCACAAAATTTCTGTATTGAAATAATTTTATTTTATCAGATCAAAAACTTCCTTGAATCCTATCATTCTGCTATTGGAAAGGAGACCGGAAATTGCTTTTCTGGATGCTCTTTCTTACTTCCCGTTGATATACTGGATGCTGGGCTCCATTGACTGTCTCGATGATTTACTCAGAGCAGGAATCACGCTTGCTGAAAATGTCGTGGTTGTTAACAAAGAACTTAGTAATTCAGCTGAAGAAGATACACTGGCTGATTGCAATACGATCGTAGCTGTGCAAACCATGTTCAAGTAAGAGAGAGAAATTGGGGAACAGAATATTTTATACTTTTCATTTAATTTCATTTCTTAACAATGAATAATGTAATTAATTTCTGTTGTTTTCAACAGATTCTTTCCGAGCATAAAAAGCATAACGGAGCTGTCTCAATCGAGCAATATGCGGTTTATGCAGTTCAGGGCACACGACAAGTATGCACTGCATCTCAGCAAAATGGAAAAGGTACTCCTCAGTGCTACTTCCAGTGACAACTACCCCGATGAGCCTTCGATGGGCTCCCCGGTAACACGATATCACTCACTTTCAACTCTGATTGACTTGATTGATTGACTGATTTTTGTATTTTTGTCTGTCTGAGAACTACCGATGTCACTTTGTACTTGGTTGGGATCATAGTTCATGATCGCATTTATTTATCAAGAAATATTCATAAACCATAAGTGTTATGGGACATGAAATTTTTTCTATTAACATTTCAATACTGAGAGTAATATCTATATTATGATTTTCGATGACTGGCAGTAGCTGCAAAAAAGGATCAGGGCTTTCAGTAGCTAAATGCTAAGGTTGCTATTGAACCTAAATACTAGTGGCAATTAACTCGAGTACTTTAAGTATCGTTACGCACTCTTAAGCATTGCTGAGAAATGTTTCACTGTAAAAAAATTAAAAGGCAGGAAACTGTGGAAATGTAAATTTGCTGTACACGAGAAATACTTTTACTTAGGTACTGCTTAGGTACTTTAGGTACTGCTTCAACAGTCTCCTTCGGAAGTAATTATCTCTTTTTCATGAGTATGAACTCTACTGCTTGTCGTCATAAGTATTATTAGTGGTACTAGGTTGATACTTATGAAACTACCAAATTCAATGAAATATAGATTATACTTATCTTGTAAAATTAAATTAATACTGCCAGCTGTTATTTTTATGATAATCAAGCTTCTTGATGAAACGAATTATAATATTGATAATTACTTTTCTAAATGGCATCGTTTGAACTTTTGATCTTCGACCAATCTTTGAAAGCACTTGGGTAGTTAGGCCCTTGGATTGGAAATTTTTAAATGTACATAGATTGACAGCTGATACCTCGATTCACGGGTTCTAATTTGCAAGATACAACAGTGAACCGTTGACATTACTTAAGTAACATCAATATGAAATTTTGTGTTATTAGTCAATTCTTATCGAAATGGGTATACTGATGACGATTCGTGTCTCGGGGTCTCTTAGCGCTGTAATAGAATAGAAATCCGATCACGCGTTATCATTTTAATTTATCTCGCATTCTTACTGTCTAGTCAAAAGCATGAAATAACGTGTAGTACGCATCTTAGCACATTCACGAAGGAATCGAAAAGTTTTTCAGATATTTTTTCATTTGTATTTAGTGTCAGTTTAGTCCGAGGTCTAATGTTGCATAACGTTATTAGTAACAACTGAAAAAAGACTCTTGTCGTTGCGATTTGTATAAAGGCACGCATGAAAAACAGTAAGCCCAAAATTGTTCACAATAATGAACAACTGGAATGATTGAAAGATTTATTTGATAAGTATACGTATTCATCGCGTGGATTAAACAATTGTTCAAGTGTTTTTAACGTGCATCAATTTAATTTATAATTTTGTACCGTTCCTTAACATCACAATTTTATTGATCCTGATGTAGAGACAAAGCATTTTTCGATTGAAATAGAAATGAAAGAAATTATTAAGAAAAAAATATTTTTGAACAAAAAGCTAATTAGTTTATTAATAAATATAACGCGCATACACATTATACGCTTTGCGATTCGCTTCAATGCTAAAAATTTGAAACGCCAGGATTGGTGAGTTTTTTTGGAGTAGAAGTGAGTTAGGGGATACAGTAGATAAAATTCAAATTTATCGATAGCGAGTGAATGCTAATAATTTATTTATATTTTAATACAGAGAGAAAAGGAAAGAGGTTCTCACATATCGTACATGTTTCGACTTCCGTTTGCCGCCGGAAGTGTATTCAGTGCGTCCATGTTGGATACCCTACTTTACCAAGCCTTTGTGAAGGACTACGTGATAACTTTCGTGAGATTACTGCTAGGAGTGGATCAGGCACCAGGATCAGGATTTTTGACATCAGTAAGTGCCTGTAAAAAAAAACATGAATGACCCAAATACATAATTTCACGAAATTAAGAATAAGCTCTATTCAGATGAGAATAACAAAAGACGACATGTGGATAAGAACATATGGAAGACTCTACCAGAAGTTGTGTTCGACGACCTGCGAGATCCCAATAGGAATCTACAGGACGCAGGACACGAGCGTAGCCGACATTTCGCACGTGAGTCAAATTGCTTGAAAAAAAGAAAAATTTATCAAAAACAAATAATTTTAGTAACGGGCGTAAGATGCGTTCCAATACCTTACTCGAATGATCATGATCAAGTTAAGACTACAAAATTTAATTAAACAAATTATATCAGTAAGATCAACATTGACTCGATTAAATTTGAGTAAATTTTTGGAACGCATCCCTACAGATGCGAAATCAATAGCGGCTGTGAGTAGCGCATGGCTGTGCTCATTCTCTGTCTATTCTTCCATCCTACAAACCTTTCCTGATCGCGAAACCTGACCCAATTACCAGGATCAGATAATGTGCAAGCCTTGCATTAACAACCTTGCATCGTGCTTAGATTTAGCAGCAATGGAAGACGAGAGACAGCAAAGAAACGTCGTTTTAGATGACGGAATTATAAAAAATGTATATACTTTGCTTAATAAGGTGATCCTCGAGGATAGTCTCTACTTTGGCATGCGAATGCGTAACTCTGACGATAAGAAAAGTTTTGAGTGAATATACAGAGCGATAACAAGGTCGGAGAGTGCGGGATGTTAAGGATGTAGAAAAGGATGCCAAGAGGACTTGATCTCGTTACAGGGCGACAGCGCGTAGTAAAGGTAGAATTAATTATGGTTTGACAGGGCGACTCAGACGCTGAGAGCGACACTGGCGTCGGGGTGACATATAAGGTTCGTCATTCCGCAGCAGCTTCCTGTCTAGCGAATTGCGCGAATCGCGACAAGAGTGCTTCCGCTGTAAGTATTGATGTGTGTATCTGTCTTTTCTCCTCTTTTTTCGAAACACTTTTCTTCTCCTCATGCTACTCGAGCACCGCACGCATGCCAACTTAAAAAACGGAAGTAAAATATGAAAATGATCTCGGGAGCGTGAATGTCGCATGCCTATACGAAGCGCATTGTTTAATTGCATATATATGAATATTAGCTCGTCGTTGTCTCGAGATGGCAGATGAAGATTTTCTCGCCCCTGCAGCAACGACTCGTTTTTATTTTGATGAAAAGAAAAAGTCAATTTAGTAAAATCACATTTGGAGAATTATATCGTTATAAATACAAAATGGAAAGACGAGTCGTGCTGCTTTGGAGGCTGGGGTGAGATCGGAAGTAATTTTCCTAAGGGTGACGTAGTGGATTAATAACTGTCTTGGTTCCAGTACTCGATGAGCCTCAGCGATGAGGCCCGGGACAATCATGCCCAGCAAATCGAAAGGGCGGAAATCGCGAACCTGGTGCGATCGCGTATGGAGTCATTGAACCTGCCAGTAGCGGACTACGACGACGTGTCCGAGAAGAGGAACTCCTTGTCGTACGTGATAATAAACCCCAGCTGCGATTTGAAGCTGGAGGAGGGTGACATAGTCTATCTGGTAAGGCCGAGTCCATTCTCCGCGCAGAAGACGTTCGAGAGACACAATTCGCGAAGGAAGAGCAACATCAGTTTCTGCTCGGCTCAGCTGGTGGCGCAGATGAGCGCAGCGGTAGCGTCGGCTGGGATTGGTGCCGGAGCCGGTGCCGGCGGTCCAGGAAGTCGACGAGGCTCCGGGATCGGATTAGCTAGAGCACCACCTCTCGGAAGTACAAAGTCGAACTCTCTCTCTTTACCGGACAGTCCCACCGTAGCCGGCACCCTAAGAGGTCGTTCGAATTCCCTGCGAGTAGTCGACGACATCCTCCTCAGGAGGAGCAACTCCCTGAGACAAGGTCTGACCACGAGGCGAAAGAGCAGCTTGGAGGACATCGGCCTGGGGGCACTCTCCCACCCCTCGAATCACAATCCCATCAAGATCGCCCTGAACGGCTCCATCGGTCTTGAGGTCACACCACCGGAAGAGGGTACTCTGGGTAGTATCGCCAGTAACACCGGAATCCTCGATGTGGGTTTACCCTCTATGCCGACCATGGGTGCCGGCTTCGGCCCATCCCTTGGCGCTGGTCTTGGTGGCTCCCTTGGCGGCCTCTACGATCCACCCTCCCTTCAGAGTCCAATGGGACCATCCCCCAGCCAAACCCAAACTGGCCCCCAGGACCCCCAGCACATCCAAGGGACGATAGTATGATACAACCTCATGTGGGGACGCAGACACTCAAGTGTAATGAAGCGAAACAAGTGGATTTAGCGTTCCCACATAGGCTTAGCGACCCAGCCTCGATCCTCTACAGACAGACACCCTGATGGTCGTCGACCTCTCGATCATGGGATGACCGACTCATGGTACGTCAGCGAACGCCTCCGTCGACTCGGAGGTCACTCTGCCGGAAGAGGGAACTCCGGGAGGTGGTGCTCGTAACACCCGTGTCCTGTGCCACGAGGACGACAACCTAGCCACTTGTACTCCTTTGCGATCACCTCTCGACGATCTTGTCTTTATCGGTCGCTCCGACTTCCAACGCATCGATCTCGAACTTGGCGAGATTTTTGGAGATAAAATCAGCGGCAAGAGAACTGCGCATGCGCGGTAGTAATATTGTTAGTCTGATAACCTTCGTACAGTATATACTATATATATATATGTACATGCAAACAGGGTTATTTGATAGAAACGCACCATCTGAAATTGGTGCGCCCATTATAGTCTTATGGAAAAACCATATTCAGATGGTGCGTTTGGACTGAATAGCTGGTATATATTGTAACGGCAATTTTCATAGTGAAATCGCGTTTATAAATAAATGAGACTCTATGGAAAATTAAAAGAAAGAAAGAAACCGATAAACCACGTTGATTGGCGCCAGGTACAGTGAAGCTGTACCGCTTAACTGTCTCCAAAATTTACCATGGCTAACTTTTATGCGGTGGGGTCCTAGGTTTGCGAGACAAATTATTATTGACTTTATAAAACACCAAAAATCAAATCTAAATTAAAATAAATAAATTCTCTACAATATTCTCAACTGAATATGCAAGTTAAACTGTATTATACAAAAATTAACGTTAGCTAGTGCTAACGGATTCACGATACCCTTGCGCTAAGAAAACGATTCTGTGAAGCATGGACTGTATAGGCGATAACGCAAAACCAAAATATGACACATGAACGTCATCAGACAGCACTAATCCTTCAAAACGCCACTGATCAGCAATTCGCGAATCCAACAATGATGGGAAATGCGTAAGGCACGACATTGCGACACGGTCTATCAATCGCTAACGTAAATATGGCCAACTCGCAAAAGCGTCTCTCGCCGCCTTCCCAGTCGCTCTAAATATCCACAGGAACACAATCTCCCAGGTATCTGGACCCTCAAACGGTAACGATTCTGTACTATACCCTATATAAGACCAGACAAGACTAGACAAAACAATACAAGACAATGACACCTCAATGGCCCGTAGTATTCAAATTTTGACAGGGTCCATTCTGATCTGCTTGAAAAGTATGAAACACAAAAAATCGTTCCCACGAGGGAACTAAGTATAAATTTAGCAAATAAGACAGTACAACATCACGAAATCCCTTCCCTACGCATAAGGCCCCACGTTGTAGCCGAAAATCTTAGAATTCCACGTTTTGTGACGTGCATCCCAAAATGCCACTTTACAATATATATACGTATATACTATATATATATAATATACTATACGTAATTCCTGAGAATTTTATACTAGATAATTAGAACGAAGGAGGAGCGTTACTTAACATGACAATTTTATTCATATCAGTGATAGACTTTTATCTAGCCTGTCGAGGATCACCGTCTTTGTGATTCCCTATGGTCAGCGAATTTGCAAGGACAGTGCGAAAGCCAAATAGAGAACAGAAGTATAAAAGAGAGTGTGCGTACTTGATGCGTGAAATGATGAGAGCATGAAAGAGAAGGAGATAGGCAAGGGTGATATAAAATCGGCGAATGTTAAGAAAGTAAAAAAGTGAACAATAAAAAATTCGATAAGAATCGGGAGACTGCGACATGTGCACAGACTTACGTCATAGAGCGTCAGAGATTATAAAGGTGCAACGAACGAAAACCAAAACTTTGAATCTTAAGAGCGCCATCCTTATTCCTCCTTTTTCTTCATTTCTCGTTTCCTTGGTACATATAAATAATACAGGCGGCGTTATCCAATTTATCTTGAAAGAATAAGAAAAAAAAAACATCAAACAATTCTCAATGCAAATTTTACATTTCAGCACGAGCTCCTGCAGTTCATGCTTCTTTTTTGACAATCCGTTAATTGAAAATCATTATCAATATATACTTGTTGTACTGACTATCCAAAATCCAAAATCTACTATAAAACGAAATAAGTAAATTAATAAAACACATTTATCGACCAATCTACACAGAACACGTGTTTTTCGCTGTACGCTTTAGCAACTTGGCATCGGCTAGAGGTTCCTTTTAAATTAACCTTTAGGCTCGAAATGGAAAGTCGTCCGACGCAGTCAGACAAATTACTCTCACTGTGTTTGTATAGGAGAAAACGGAGTAATGCCGGCTAGTCTATTTTCTACATATTTTACTCTATAGGGAAAACAAAATCCATATTGATCCTATGGTCTGCGTAGGTGCCAAATGCTTCATTTTTCTTCATACTAATCATTATATTGATTATATACGTGCGGTTTCATTTTTTCATTTTCGAAACATTATACAATTCATTCAAAGATATGAAATCCATATGCTTTGCTATAAATAATTTAATAAGTATATTTGCAAAAATTATATTCACTTTTTGAGCAGTATTGTCACCCTATCAACTATATCCGTGTGTGACAATTAAAAAAAAAAGATCTTTCTTTAAAATTTTTTCAAAATTTTGGCTCACCATATTGGATCCACCGTTGTGAATTTTAATATGTTTTACCTCAAATTTGTATTTAGCGATTTCTAAAAACTTTTAAGTACTGAGTTTTATAAAAATCAAAGAGCATTCGCATTTTGTTCTTCTTTGGTTCGGTTGGTGATTATTTTCTTGCAGATCAAAAGGTTGATCCAATATGACAGTAAAAACTTAAAAGATTCATCCTTTCTCTATTGATTTCTAATGATAAAAAATTTTTAAAAAAACATCGTCGCCATTAACCAGTTTTCCCCTATTATTATTATGATTGTACACTAGCAGACTATAATAACCATTTTTGTAGGTAGAGGCGCACGTTGTATGTTTTTCGAAAGTGATATTTTCCATTTGCGTCGGATGTGCTATTGTGCCGAGTGTCGAGAACAGTTGTCGTACTAGCTTTACGATTTTATCCATTAATTATACATAGTGTAATGCGTACACCTAAAATTATATGGACACGCAAATACGTAAATAGCGACCATAGCTTGTATACACGAGAACAGATCATTTTACACTGTGACGATTTTAACGAATTTAATACCTTTTGGATTTTATTCATAATCCGTGCAGTCGGAACTTACTTGCCCTCGAGTCATGTGTAACTCTTTATACACGTACTGTATCGATCAGTCAGATTGTTGTCAGTGTTATTTATCGCAATCGTCACCCCTAGAAAGTATGATAATGTAAAAAAAATTCAAACTAATATATAACCGTTTAAACCGAAACAGTCCTTGGATTGTCCAAGTGGTTCATATAAATTTTTTTTTTTATATATTATGCTCGTGTAATTAATCTGGATCGAAAATTCCGACTGCACGGTTACTCAAATACACTCTGTTAATAAGATGTATCTTTATCTTAACTGATGCTTTATCATTTCATTCATCGATAGGCGTACCGCTGTAATGTTTTCCGGTTTACGGACACTTTTTCGAATAGACGTTTGTTCGAATGAATAATTTTTAGAAAATTCGTTGAACGGAAGCATCAAAAAATTGTACTTTATTACAAACTAGAAATTAATTACAACTCTTTATTTTATTTAAACAAAATTTTTTTCGGGCAAGATGACAGTTTGGAAGTCTTACCTAACATAGCCACTTTTAAGCTCATCATATCAGAGTTCTAAATGCGGTTTTATATTTAACTAAACAAGAAATCGGTGAATCGGTGAACCTTTATACACGCGCTGTCCGTGCGCCTATCGAATTAGTGATTTATGGAATAATTTCGAGAAACACTATTTACGAAAAAATGTCAGTTCGAACAAATGTCCGTGTTCGAACCAGTGTCTTTCGAAAAAGTGTGCTTCGAACAAAGGAGTTTGAAAAACTGTCCGAATACGGTATTTTCCTTATACAAAAAAAAAATGTTTTAAAAAAATTGCGAATCTCATTTGTACGAATAACACGGCATTTTTTCCTAAAACAGCACTTTGATTCCTCGATAAAACCAAAATTGGATATAACAGTTTTTGAAATTATATAACGCATACATTAATACGAAAATACATGTAAATAATAAAATAATGACTATTCGAAAAAAAAGCACATTTTTAAAATCAGTCGATATTTTCGCACGTCAAATTATTTGATTTTTGCAGAACTATTTCAGAATTTTTGATAATCGAGGAAATAGAGTAATTAGTTATATTTTTCATCATTTTTTTTCCATTTCAATTTCCTTTTCACAGTCACATGTAATATATCGAAACTTAATCGTTAATCCGTGAATATATTGTCTGTTAAAGTGTTTAAAAAAAGAAACAGAAAAGTAACAAAAGAAAATTATATTATTATACTGACTTCACCATCAGTATTTTCGACGTCCGCACGTGACTTCTCGTTCCAATTAATAACGTGAAGATAGCTGTTTCAGACGACCGGAACGAGATGCACGGAAAAATTCGAAGGTGGACGAGCATCGCACGAAATTTCGTGACTTTGTTTTCGATAAGTGCGACGCTCTACGAAGAGATCAATTGGATTCTTTATAGATTAAGTATTAAGCATCCCTCGACCACGAATCTATAAGCGGCTGTACGTAATGTAAATTGTAAAAGAGATGTATCTATAACGTGACGCATATGCAGTCAATTTATTATGAATAAACTGTGACGCAGAGAGGAGGAGAAGAGAGCAGGAAAATTATGAAAGGCATTAATAAAAGAAATCGATATTATAATTACTTCTTTACCCTAACATTTATCTACCAATAAAATGTAGGTCGAAAGAGAATAAAAAAGTTCACGAAAATAAAATGAACATACGTTCTCGTACATGTGGAATACTTAATTCTAATATATACGCATGTATGTATCGTAACGGTTTTTTTCTTGTGCGAATCGCATTAACGAATAAATGGCTGAAAGTGAAATGGGCACCAGATACAAATTGTAACGAAGAATCGAAGAAAAAGAAAAGATGACCTCGTTGTGATACGAAGGAAGTACAAACGCATCCTGAGCATTTGATATCTTTGATTTGCATTTCTTATTCGCAATGAAAATACCTTCTGAAACAGGACTTTTTGAAGATTGAGGAGCCAAATAAATGTCTGATCGATGGGACGAAAATGGTTTTTTCGTCACGATATGGGCTCATCTTTCGATTTGAACTGATTAGAATTGTGATAGGTAAAAGTCGGAATTTTATTATTTCAAATGATATTGTTCTCACATTAATTTTATTAATTCAAACTTGCTTTCTGATCGTGATCATTATTTTTCCTAATCTCTTTATTCTGAACATCGTCCTACATCTAGTATTTAATATATCTCCACGCATCCTATATTCGCCCATACAGTAATAAATTAAATAGTATTCTTACAGTCAATACTGAGTACAATTTATCAACATATAATATATTATACCTTAACACTAATCGTACCATCGACCGGTCATTTCACCGTTTTAGAGACAAAAATACGTTTATAAAATATGTCGGTATGGTTAGTGTTTACCTAAACATATACGAAAGAAGAAGGAAAAGAATTTCTGTGACTTATGATGACTCCTCTTATAATCAGTGGTATAGTATTATAACTCTATTGAATAATTTAGCAATTACATTAGTATGCGCATTACCTGCAACTACAAATAAAATCTTTTGTCTTTATTTGCAAAATTTAATATTTTCTTTAGATATACATTAACCCATTGACTATTTAATTTCTCCATTTCATTTTCGACTTGAAAACAGTGATGGAATACTCAGTTCAGAATAATACAAGACGTCTGTTGCTGCAGACATTGATTGGAGGTGATTAGAATTACAATGCACTATAATCAATTTATATGGTACCTACCCCAATCACAAAAGCCTTAGACAGATATAATCAGGAGCTCCTGGAGCTCCTGATCAGGTAGCTCCAAATTACACATTTGTAAGACTCGTGTGACTGGGCTACACATATAAATTAATTACAGTGTATTATGATTCTAAATACCTTTAATCAATATCTGAAGCAGCAAACGTCTTGTATTATTCTGACCAAAATATTCCATATGCCTCTCCATACATTATTTTTGTATATATTGTACATATAAACAAATCGACATATGTATACATATTTCGAACCAATTTCTTCGCATAGATCGTATGTCCCATGATTATCGCCCCATTAGAATTTCCAAGTTCAAAAACCCATCCAATAGCTGATTCCCGCATGAGACAATCAAAAATACCCTGATCAATTGGACCCAATAATTCGATCGTTCCATTTCCAATCACTGTCTTGACGATGGCTGCTCAATCACAAGGCTGACACTGGGCAGAGACTACGAAGGATTTCCTCGAGTCCAGATGAGTCTCAGACAAGGATCTTTTTTTAAAAAATATTCTTCAGTATCGAAAGGCAAGTGACGTTTTTGATCTTATGAAATCATGACGTTTTTACGTTAACACTTGATACGTCTAATCTTTCCGGCACAAGTATCTCTTTCCGTTTTTTTTTTTTATTATCACACTGATTGCCTACCTTCTTAAACCAGTCATTTTCTCCATCTTCAGAACGTGTTTGAGTAGACAATTGGCATGGACGTGGCAGGATCCAGAACTGTAGGTAAACCTTGTACGATAGGATGCCAAATAGTATCTGCTCCTTGGTCTGGTTTCACCATGCTCCGCATTTCAATTGTGCGATGGAAAATGTTAAATCGTTAAATCGAATTCTTCGGTGACATACGAAGGGTCATTCTTGATCTCCACCGACTGTACATGCTACTGTGCGGGAAAGTGTAAAGGGTAGGAGCTGCTTCTGGATCGCAAGTGCAAAATTCGGTAACGTACAAAAGGTCAATGTACTCAATTACGTCTGATGTAAAATTCCTAAAATCTGCCATAATATTTCTGAAATCTGCCGTAAAATCCCTGACACCTGACGTAAAACTACGGCCCCCTTCCGATGACGTTCAGCCGATGAAGGGGTTGGCGCCATCGACTACTGCGCGCCCGCAGCACCTTCATCAAAGAAAAAATGTCGGTGTTGTCGGTAAGCAGAAATCTTTCATACGGCGCCCAATCACCCTAAGTTACCATAGTCGCTAACCTAGGGGGCACCACGTCCCTAACTTAGCACGGATGATAACCCACAAGTCGGTAATATGTCTGTGCAGGAATCTTGGCCCAGAACTCTCGTTGTGTAACTACTACTCTCGTACGATAGGATGCCAAATAGTATCTGCTCCTTGGTCTGGTCCAAATCCAATCCAACTGCTTTGCAGAGTGATAATTTATCTGCAAAATACGTGAGAGTCAGTTATTTTTTTTCTCGTAGACGCTGAACCTGCCTCTGCCACTTTTGATCATCTGACTTCTACGTGATGTATCTCTCATGGAAATGACATTGAAAATTCGTCCAAGTCTTAGGAGCGTTCAATTGCAATAACCAGTGACCTCGTGCGGCTATATTGACGTGACGTAATGATACCGAAAGTTTCTCTTCGTTCGACCATCCATTTATCTTGACAAAATAATTAAATAATCTCGGTACCAGCGAATTTTTCGAATCCCAAATTACCACGCAATTCGGCTAGGCGTGGGTTCTGCTCGTCAGTCTTCGGACTGTGGGTTCCATGATGTAGCAGGAACCGGATCTCTTTGATTTTCTCCAGAATAAGCGTTAGATCTTCTTTGAATTCGGTTGCTTCTCCCATAGCGATGTTAAAGTTTTGTAAAATTCCTTGGAAAAACTTTATATTGTCACTGATGAAAGATTCGTTGAAATTTTTTATTTCATTCCCGTCGGCTGATTCCGACCATCCATTTATCTTGACAAAATAATTAAATAATCTCGGTACCAGCGATTTTTTCGAATCCCAAATTACCACGCAATTCGGCTAGGCGTGGGTTCTGCTCGTCAGTCTTCGGACTATGGGTTCCATGATGTAGCAGGAACCGGATCTCTTTGATTTTCTCCAGAATAAGCGTTAGGTCTTCTTTGAATTCGGTAGCTTCTCCCATAGCGATGTTAAAGTTTTGTAAAATTCCTTGGAAAAACTTTATATTGTCACTGATGAAAGATTCGTTGAAATTTTTATTTCATTCCCGTCGGCTGATTCGTTCGAATTAACTTGCTGGCAGAGTGTGTCTCTCCACAGTGTCCAAGTACTGACGAGTAAGATTACAGAGTACTGTATCTTCATAATAATTTTAATATTTGTCAACGTTAATTTTTGGCAAGAGAATTCTTTAAACACGATACTACATACGGTCCCTATTATGCTTATATACAAGCGTTAATTTTTGGCAAGAGAATTCTTTAAACACGATACTACATACGGTCCTTATTGTGCTTATATACAATGGCAGAGACTACGAAGGATTTCCTCGAGTCCAGATGAGTCTCAGACAAGGATCTTTTTTTAAAAAATATTCTTCAGTATCGAAAGGCAAGTGACGTTTTTGATCTTATGAAATCATGACGTTTTTACGTTAACACTTGATACGTCTAATCTTTCCGGCACAAGTATCTCTTTCCGTTTTTTTTTTTTATTATCACACTGATTGCCTACCTTCTTAAACCAGTCATTTTCTCCATCTTCAGAACGTGTTTGAGTAGACAATTGGCATGGACGTGGCAGGATCCAGAACTGTAGGTAAACCTTGTACGATAGGATGCCAAATAGTATCTGCTCCTTGGTCTGGTCCAAATCCAATCCAACTGCTTTGCAGAGTGATAATTTATCTGCAAAATACGTGAGAGTCAGTTATTTTTTTTCTCGTAGACGCTGAACCTGCCTCTGCCACTTTTGATCATCTGACTTCTACGTGATGTATCTCTCATGGAAATGACATTGAAAATTCGTCCAAGTCTTAGGAGCGTTCAATTGCAATAACCAGTGACCTCGTGCGGCTATATTGACGTGACGTAATGATACCGAAAGTTTCTCTTCGTTCGACCATCCATTTATCTTGACAAAATAATTAAATAATCTCGGTACCAGCGATTTTTTCGAATCCCAAATTACCACGCAATTCGGCTAGGCGTGGGTTCTGCTCGTCAGTCTTCGGACTATGGGTTCCATGATGTAGCAGGAACCGGATCTCTTTGATTTTCTCCAGAATAAGCGTTAGGTCTTCTTTGAATTCGGTAGCTTCTCCCATAGCGATGTTAAAGTTTTGTAAAATTCCTTGGAAAAACTTTATATTGTCACTGATGAAAGATTCGTTGAAATTTTTATTTCATTCCCGTCGGCTGATTCGTTCGAATTAACTTGCTGGCAGAGTGTGTCTCTCCACAGTGTCCAAGTACTGACGAGTAAGATTACAGAGTACTGTATCTTCATAATAATTTTAATATTTGTCAACGTTAATTTTTGGCAAGAGAATTCTTTAAACACGATACTACATACGGTCCTTATTGTGCTTATATACAATTTGACTCCATTTTGAATCCCTACTCCAGGTCTTTCCTTCCCTTTCTTACTTGGTATCCACCAATTATCTTAATATTTTCAGACTCCTCCTACAGCATCTTAGGATCGATATATCCCGGAAACATTTCTCCACTCCGGTGCAGCTAATGGTATTGGTACCCTGGATGTTTTTTAAGGTACTCGTTCTTTCTGGGTATCACCATCTCCTACGTCACCAGTCCTCTTTTCTTTTTGGTAGCAAATTTTATTTTTAACCACCTCTTTCGGCCTTATCACCTGTAATTTACAGTCACCATTCGCGGATCAATAACAATTACCCCAAAAACGCGAAAAACAATAATACAGACACTTTTCAAATTTAAGGTGGTTCGTCACAAATACAAAAGATGTAGCATGTGTTTCAAAATTATGCACACTGTTCTCTGAGGTACTGTACGTGGTTCTGCGATTGAACAACATTTTTTTTACACTGTCTTTAAAAAAATTATATTCCGAATGATGAACCTGCTCAACTTATATGTACGACCTCAGTGCTGCAAATAAATAATTTCAAACCAATGAGCATCTTCCCCTGGGACAGCATCCCCCTGAGTGGGGAATATCTTAGCTCCTCCTACTGAATTTTCAAGAATTTTTAAAATCAGAAATTTCACTCTTAATTTACGTTACAATTCATTAGTACCACTTCGACTGTTGGGCCATTCGGATATTTCCTACTTAAGGATCAGCAAAATCCTAAATTAGTTATAAAAGTCGAAAAACTTCATTGTACCAGTGTTGCATCCATTTGCGAGAATGTCTCAACCGTCAGGATCAGGAGGTAGCGATGATGCAATCATTTACATTACTGGAGTACGTGACGTAACCCTTTCCATTTTGTATGCTACAGGTAGACCACAGTTGGATAATTGTGATATGTGCAAGTTGAACTTCCTGTTCGCATCTAAGTCGACTGGCTCGGAAATCGTTGGAAATCCTGAACACGAAAATGCCTCCGCGTCATGTGCTACGAGTTCTTCCTTTCCTGTGAGATCTTCCACATCTTCCCAAGGTGCAATTGCCAAAGCGTATTTTGCAAATGACGACGACGAGTCATGTACGAATTTACTCAACATCTTGAAACGTATATTGGATATCCTGGAAACCTGTGCACAGCGGCTGAATAGACTTGAAAATAATATTAATAGAATGAAGGAATCACGTACTGGTGTCAAGGACCTTTCGGAATCGTTGAAAAGTCTTAAAGAATGTTGCAAGAGACTGGAAAAGTTAACCCATCAGTTATCATCTATGGAATTATTGTAAAGTGATCCTCCCATGAAATATATCAAAGGCAGTGGGCATTTTCCTTTCGTGGATTTATGCGATCGATATGCAAGTAATAGAGTCCGTGAGAATTTATGAGGGTAGCTCTGCTTGATTTGAAGGTCAACTGTAAAAAATCCTTCTTATATGTATAAGTGGAGTTACGATTTCTTGATTCATGTACAAATATATTTCAAGGGGAAAATATACGCTGTGCGTTATAACGCTTATGGTAAAGTTGCAGTGGTTGAATCTTTGCACATTGCCGAGGAGTAAACCTATTTTTTTTACAAATTTCTCTACTACCCTCTCCCACTCCCCTTATTTTTCTTGAGTTTTCCTTTTTCTTTTTTACCCCTCCCTACTTATTCTTCAAGAAAAAACTCTGACGCACGAAATAGGGCTCGATCTTCCCCACTGTCTACACAAAGGGTACATGGGGAGCGGGGGCGCACACCAGTCAGTCTTAAATAATACTTTTTTTTCAAATCTCCAAATCGTTCACATATTCATATTCTTCCATCGTAATATTTTTCATATTGGCTTCAACAGTTGAATACGTTATAAGCTAACTTTATTTTCAGTTTCTGATAAGCTATAATTTTGCAACTTACTTTTTCAATATATTTCTATGGCTCAATAATTCACATTAATTTACTGCTATATCAGCTAATGTTTGTAGCGTTCAGAATTTTAACTGAGTTCTTCCAAGTATAGTACGCCCCCCCCCCCCCCCCCCCCCC